GAGGTGTCGGTGCGCAGAAACAGCGACGGATCGGCAGCAGAAGGAGCGAACCCAAGAGCCGCAAGCGTAGTCCTCAGTGTGTCGTGCCACTCACGTGGCGCCTGGCGGAGACCGTAGACTGGACGCCGGAGACTCCACTGGGTACCAGGAGGGAAAGACCCAGTGAAGCCAGGTGGGCGGCGCAGCCAGATCTCCTCGTGCAGGCTGCCCTGCAAGAAAGCTGTGCTGAAGTCGAGAGAGTGCAGCTCGTAGTCACGGTGAGCAGGAACGTGCAGCAGTACCCGAAGAGTGGTCATCTTCGGGGTGGGGGAGAAGGTCTGAAAGTAGTCAACTCCCTGCCGCTGACCGAAGCCACGAGCCACGTAACGCGCCTTGAAGACATGCGGAGAACCCGGTGGCCGTTTCACCCTGAAGATCCACATACCACTGACGATGTTCGCCCCAGGAGGGGGGACAGCGTCAACGTAGGTGCCTGTGGACTTCCAGGAAGCCATCTCTGCATCCATAGCTGCCTCCCACTGAGAGGAGTAGGGACCCTCTATCGCCTCGGCGTAAGAGCGCGGAGTCGGGATGTCAAGTGCATCCGGGTCTCCCTCAGGGGTAAGCAGTACGGACACGAGATGAGGTGAAGCAGCGGCCAAGCACTGGAACTCCTCCTGCCTGTCCTCAAGGACGTCCCTGCCAAGGGCACACGCACCCCCAACGGACGGAGGACAGACAGACTCAGACTCAGCGACAAGACTAGCAGCGTAGTCTAGGCGATAGTGAGCAGCAAAGTCGACGAGCTCAGCAACTAGGGTAGACGCAGCAGAAGACTCGAAAGACGGGTTAGTGACGGCAGTAGCAAGGAGACGCGTGACAGTAGGACTGGCAGCACGAAGAGAGTCCGACGCAGGGTCGGCAAGAGTAGGAAGAGAGGATGCAGGAGGAGAAGGCAAAGGGGCACGCAGAGGAGCAGTAGACGGACGGAGAGACATCCGGTGCATGCCAGGGGAAGGAGGAGGACGCTGACGCGAACTACGAGCACCAGCGCTAGCACGACGGACAGGCGGCGCAGGGCGAGACGCAGACTCACGACGCTCAGTAAGACCGCCAGTAGGACCAGTGTAAGGAGAAGGAGCAGGTAGTGGGGAGGCCGGCTGCAACTGTAACTGTGACGGGACAGGCTGTGGACACGCTAAGGGAGGAGGACCAGGAGGAGGCGAGAGACCAAGAACCTGCTGAAGGAGCGGAACGAAGTACGGCTGAGGGCGCGTGGCGACTCCAGACACAGCAGGGACAGCACCAGTACCCCCAGCCGCAAGACCAGAACCAGCAGTAGCTCCACCTCCCAGGTCCTCAGTACTAGCCGCAGCACCAACGCCCGAGGCCGCAGCACCAGCAGGGACTCCAACACCAAGGTCCACAGCACCAGTCGCAGCTCCAACGCCCGGGTCCGCAGCGCCAGCAGTAGTCCCAACGCCAGGGTCCGCAGCACCGGCAGCAGCTCCAACGCCCGGGTCCGCAGCACCAGCAGCAGCTCCAACGCCCGGGTCCTCAGCACCAGCAGCGCCTCCAACTCTCGGGTCCTCAGCACCAGCAGCAGCTCCAACGCCAGGGTCCGCAGCACCAGTAGCAGCTCCAACGCCAGGGTCCGCAGCACCAGCAGTAGCTCCAACTCCCGGGTCCGCAGCACCAGCAGCAGCTCCAACTCCCGGGTCCGTAGTGCCAGTAGCAGCTGGGTCCGTGAGACGAGGCGCGCCACTCCGAAGTGTGCAACGGCGCTCGTACCACTCACGGATCCGCTCACGGGAGGGGAGCTCCCGACTAGGAGGAGAAGTACCAGCACCAGTCCCGGTAGTGCGCCTGGTCCCAGAGGTACCTCTCCAGAGGCTGCATTACTGTAAGTACCACTCACCCAACTGCTCCGAGGAGAGGTCTCGCTCAGGCGTAGCACCGCCAGAGGTAGAACCCCCAGACCCAGCACCCCCAGGCTCAGCACCCCCAGTCACCGCACCCCCAGGCTCAGCACCCCCAGTCAGGACGAGAGTCGACAGCAACCTCAACAGGCTCGACCGGGTCTACCTGAGACACACCTGAGGGAGCGGCACCCTGAGGGGGGAGGGGGTCTACAACAGCAGCACCTGGCGCAAGGAAGAGAGGCGGGGGAGGGAGCGGGGCAGTGCGGTAGGGCAAGAGGTGCTAGTAGGGGACAGACTCGTCAAAAGTGACGTCCTGTGAGGGCAAGACCCGTCGCGAGGTGGCGTGGTAAAACTGCCAACCAGGCGCGTCCGGAACAAAGCCGAGGAAGACACAGGGAACAGCACGAGAGGAAAGCTTGTCCGCAGACGTATCGCGGACAAAAGCTCGAGATCCCCAGACCCGGAAACGCGACGCATCGCCAACCTCCCCCGTCCACAGCAGTGTGGGCGAGGTCTCCGGCAAGGAGACACGGGGCCAGAGGTTGAGCTGATGCGCAGCGTACCGGACCGCAAACGGCCACAGAAAGTGGGGGGCAGCCGCATGGATCAAGGAGGTACGAGCGACCTCCATGACCAGGCCAATGCGGCGCTCCGCAACCCCATTCTGCTGTGGAGAGGCCGGAAGCGTGAACGACTGCTCAATGCCGTGCTCAGCACAGTAGGCTGCCAAGAGGTCGGAGGAGAACTCACCACCTCTGTCAGAGTGCAAGCGCAGGACAGGAAAGTCCGAACGGAAATGCTCGCTGAGCTGGAGACGAGCTCTGCGGATCCAATGGATCAAAACATCAGGGACCTCACCCTTGGTGCGCAAGGGGAAGACCGTGGTGTAGCGCGAGTAATCGTCAACAACGACCAGGAAGTACCTCTCCTGACCCTGACCACGGACGCGGGCTGGGCCCCACACGTCCATGTGGAGCGTCTGCAAAGGAGCAGTCGTCGGGGGAAACGAGGAGGAGTGAGGAGCGGCGCGCTGCCGCCCCTCGACACAGGGAAGACAGGGAGGAGCAGGCGAGGGTGGGAGGGGAGGGAGGACCCTGGGCAGACCAGAGACAAGGTACAGGGAGTGCATGGCACGAAGGCGCTGCACAGACGGGTGGCCCAGTCGGTGGTGCCAGAGGACAGTCTCGTGCGCTAGAGAGCAACACGAGCAGGGGGCGGACAGCTGACCTGACGCGGACGCAGACGCAGACGCAGCGACCTGAGGGGGGGCAGTAGTCAGTGTGTACAGGTCCGACCCCGGCTGCCGGGTGAAGGTAGCCAAGTGGCGGCTTGTACGAGCACACGTGCAATGTGTGACACGCTCGTAGGCAGGGGTGAACTGGTGAACACCCGCGTCCTGTAGTGCACAACCTGCCACCAAGTTCGTAGAGAACGAGGGGAGGTGGAGACCTGACAGTGTGCCCGACGGGACCGCAGGACAGGGAAGGACAGTGGAGGAGGTCGCAAGGACCGGACCCCCAGAGGGGTCAGCAAGGGAGACAGCAACTGGCCGAGCAAGGGGCTCAAGGGCAGTGCGGTCACGAAAGAAACAGCGAGAGGCACCTGAATCCAGTGTGAAGGTGTGCAGTGCTGCAGTCGACACAGTACTAGGGGGGGCAGACGCACACGCACCTAGAGCAGCAGCCTCACCAGCACCTGGGGTAGCAGACACGCGAGTACCTGGAGCGGCAGACGCACTAGTCCTAATGCCCGGGTCGGGCGGGACACTCAGGTACTCAGAACCCTCTCCACTAGTAGACATCACATACATGGCAGAGAGAATAGCATCAAAGTCAAGAGCATAGATATCAATCCCCTTCTTCAGGAGATCAAGCCAGCGGGGCAGCTCAGTGGCCTGAGGGAACTGAACACGCCAAGCGTCGTTCAGACGAGCGAAGCAATGCTGTGTGGCGTGCGGTCCCTCACACGGCTGGCCAGTGCGGTCACCAGTGCGAATGACGTACGTGCAGCTAAGGCCACCCCCCCCCCCCGTGCCGAGAGTACCACTCACGGACCTCCTGGGGCGAGGGAGTGTGCTGCTGGCCCTGGCCACCGCCAGTGCCTCCACGACCACCACCTCCGCTACCACCTCCTCGACCACCCCAACCCCGGCCGCTGCCTCGTCCACTGCCATCCCCACTACCTCCTCCGCCCCGGCCACCTCCCCCGCCGCTGCCGCCACCCCCCCCACTGCCGCCACCTCCTCCACCCGCGCCACCCCCCCCGCCACCACCTCCCCCACCACCGCCACCCCCGCTGTCACCACCACCGCCCTTGCCCCCCTTGCCCTTTCCGCTGCGGCACCCGCTCGAAGCAGACGCAGTCCCGACCTTCTCAGCACCAAGAAGGTCGACAGCAGCAGCAGAGGCGACAGAGGGAAGAAGGGGGGAGGGAGAACACCCCTCTAAGAACGGGGTAGGGGGGTCACCGCGAGAGGCACCTACAGCGACTATGCTAGTCTCAGCTGCAAGGAGTTCTTTCTCGAGGAGGGCAATGGTGAGCTCGGTGGGGCAGCGAGCGAGGAAGTGGTCCCTGACTGAGCGCAGCGAGTCAGGGAGGCGCGTGACTAGGTGGTAGAGTGTGAGCCAGAGCGGGGGTGGGTTCGTGGCAAGGAACTCATCAGGCATAGCGGCGCGGAAGCGAGCCTCACTCGTGCGGAGGTGGGTAATGAGATCAGCGACAGTGTGAAAGGAAGCTAAGTCGGGGAACAGGTAGGGAAGAGAGAGACGGCCTAGAGTGGCAGAGGCCGGTGAGGAGTAGCGAGCAACGACAGCAGTGTACACTGCCTGTGCAGTCTTGTGCTGCCCAAAGTGCTCGCGCTCATCTATCGGCAGAGAGTTGCGAATAGCGAAGCGAGCATGGGCGTCACGAGTCTGCCACTGTGAGCGAGCAGTGCTGTCAGCAGTAGCAGCAGGAGCAGTAGCGTGGCCTAAGGCGTGATCGTACAGCGAGATGTCTTCCTTGGCAGTGAGCTGTAGGAAGAGGTGTAGGTCATCAAGCCAGGTGTCGAACTTCACTGGGCGACCCTCAGTGTCAAAGGCTAGCACAGGGGGGCTAGCCATGGTAGCAGCAGTAAGAAGAACAGTAGGAGCAGTAGGGTAGGTAGGGCGGCGCGGCTCGGTCCAGGTAGGGCGGCGCAGCTCGGTACAGGTAGGGCGGCGCGGCTCAGTATAGGTAGGGCGGCGTGCTCTGTCCCGGCCAAATTCCTGAGCGCCAAATTCCTGAGCGTCTGGTCACCCGGGACAGAGCACCCCGCCAAATTCCCCTCTTTCTATCACCCCTCCCCATTCTCCCTCTTTCTATCAACCCGCCCCATTCTCCCGCTTTCCATCACCCCGCCCCATTTTCCCTCTTTCCATCACTTCGCCCCATTCTCCCTCTTTCCATCACCCCGCCACATTCTCCCGCTTTCCATCACCCCTCCCCATTTTCCCTCTTTCCATCACCCCGCCCCATTCTCCCGCTTTCCATCACCCCGCCCCATTCTCCCCCTTTCTATCACCCCTCCCCCTTCTCCCGCTTTCCATCACCCCGCCCAATTCTCCCTCTTTCTATCACCCCTCCCCATTCTCCCTCTTCCTATCACCCCGCCCCATTCTCCTGCTTTCCATCACCTCGCCCCATTTTCCCTCTTTCCATCACCCCGCCCCATTCTCCCTCTTTCCATCACCCCACCACATTCTCCCGCTTTCCATCACCCCTCCCCATTCTCCCTCTTTCCGTCACCCCGCCACATTCTCCCGCTTTCCATCACCCCTCCCCATTCTCCCTCTTTCCGTCACCCCGCCCCATTCTCCCGCTTTCCATCACCCCGCTCTATTCTCCCGCTTTCCATCACCCCGCCCAATTCTCCCTCTTTCCATCACCCCTCCCCATTCTACCTCTTTCCATCACCCCGCCCCCCATTCTCCCTCTTTCCATCACCGCGCCCCATTCTCCCGCTTTCCATCACCCCGCCCCATTCTCCCTCTTTCCATCACCCCGCCTCATTTTCCCTCTTTCCATCACCCCGCCCCATTCTCCCGCTTTCCATCACCCCGCTCCATTCTCCCTCTTTCTATCACCCCTCCCCCTTCTCCCGCTTTCCATCACCCCGCCCAATTCTCCCTCTTTCTATCACCCCTCCCCATTCTCCCTCTTTCTATCACCCCGCCCCATTCTCCCGCTTTCCATCACCCCGCCCCATTTTCCCTCTTTCCATCACCCCGCCCCATTCTCCCTCTTTCCATCACCCCGCCACATTCTCCCGCTTTCCATCACCCCTCCCCATTTTCCCTCTTTCCATCACCCCGCCCCATTCTTCCGCTTTCCATCACCCCGCCCCATTCTCCCTCTTTCTATCACCCCTCCCCCTTCTCCCGCTTTCCATCACCCCGCCCAATTCCCCTCTTTCTATCACCCCTTCCCATTCTCCCTCTTTCTATCACCCCGCCCCATTCTCCCGCTTTCCATCACCCCGCCCCATTTTCCCTCTTTCCATCACCCCGCCCCATTCTTCCTCTTTCCATCACCCCGCCACATTCTCCCGCTTTCCATCACCCCTCCCCATTTTCCCTCTTTCCATCACCCCGCCCCATTCTCCCACTTTCCATCACCCCGCCCCATTCTCCCTCTTTCTATCACCCCTCCCCCTTTTCTCGCTTTCCATCACCCCGCCCAATTCTTCCTCTTTCTATCACCCCTCCCCATTCTCCCTCTTTCTATCACCCCGCCCCATTCTCCCGCTTTCCATCACCCCGCCCCATTTTCCCTCTTTCCATCACCCCGCCCCATTCTCCCTCTTTCCATCACCCCGCCACATTCTCCCGCTTTCCATCACCCCTCTCCATTCTCCCTCTTTCCGTCACCCCGCCCCATTCTCCCGCTTTCCATCACCCCGCTCCATTCTCCCTCTTTCCGTCACCCCGCCCCATTCTGCCGCTTCCCATCACCCCGCCCCATACTCCCTCTTTCCATCACCCTGCCCCATTCTCCCGCTTTCCATCACCCCGCTCCTTTCTACCGCTTTCCGTCACCGTGCCCAATTCTCCCTCTTTCCATCACCCCTCCCCATTCTCCCTCTTTCTATCACCCCGCCCAATTCTCCCTCTTTCCATCACCCGGCCCCATTCTCCCTCTTTCCATCACCCCGCCCCATTCTCCCTCTTTTCATCACCCCGCCCCATTCTTCCACTTTCCACCACCCCGCCCCATTTTCCCTCTTTCCATCACCCCGCCCCATTCTCCCGCTTTCCATCACCCCGCCCCATTCTCCCTCTTTCTATCACCCCTCCCCATTCTCCCGCTTTCCATCACCCCGCCCAATTCTCTCTCTTTCTATCACCCCTCCCCATTCTCCCCTTTTCCATCCCCCCGCCCCATTCTCCCGCTTTCCATCACCCCGCCCCATTCTCCTTCTTTCCATCACCCCGCCCCATTCTCCCGCTTTCCATCACCCCGCCCCATTTTCCCTTTTTCCATCACCCCGCCCCATTCTCCCGCTTTCCATCACCCCGCCCCATTCTCCCTCTTTCTATCACCCCTCCCCATTCTCCCGCTTTCCATCACCCCGCCCAATTCTCCCTCTTTCTATCATCCCTCCCCATTCTCCCTTTTTCCATCACCCCGCCGCATTCTCCCGCTTTCCATCACCCCGCCCCATTCTCCCTCCTTCCATCACCCGGCCCCATTCTCCCGCTTTCCATGACCCCGCCCCATTCTCCCGCTTTCCATCACCCCGCCCCATTCTCCCACTTCCCATCACCCCGCCCCATTTTCCCTCTTTCCATCACCCCGCCCCATTCTCCCGCTTTCCATCACCCCGCCCCATTCTCCCTCTTTCTATCACCCCTCCCCATTCTCCCGCTTTCCATCACCCCGCCCAATTCTCCCTCTTTCTATCACCCCTCCCCATTCTCCCTCTTTCTATCACCCCGCCCCATTCTCCCGCATTCCATCACCCCGCCCCATTTTCCCTCTTTCCATCACCCCGCCCCATTCTCCCACTTTCCATCACCCCGCCACATTCTCCCGCTTTCCATCAACCCTCCCCATTCTCCCTCTTTCCGTCACCCCGCCCCATTCTCCCGCTTTCCATCACCCCGCTCCATTCTCCCTCTTTTCGTCACCCCGCCCCATTCTCTCGCTTTCCATCACTCCGCCCCATTCTCCCTCTTTCCATCACCCCGCCCCATTAACCCGCTTTCCTTAACCCCGCCCCATTCTCCCGCTTTCCATCACCCCGCTCTATTCTCCCGCTTTCCATCACCCCGCCTAATTCTCCCTCTTTCCATCACCCCTCCCCATTCTACCTCTTTCCATCACCCCGCCCCCCACTCTCCCTCTTTCCATCACCCGCCCCATTCTCCTGCTTTCCATCACCCCGCCCCATTCTCCCTCTTTCCATCACCCCGCCCCATTCTCCCGCTTTCCATTTCCCCGCCCCATTTTCCCTCTTTCCATCACCCCGCCCCATTCTCCTGCTTTCCATCACCCCGCCCCATTCTCCAGCTTTCCATCACCCCGCTCCATTCTCCCGCTTTCAATCACCCAGCTCAATTCTCCCTCTTTCCATCAACCCCCCCCCCATTCTCCCGCTTTCCTTCACCCCGCCCCATTCTCCCTCTTTCCATCACCCCGCCCCATTCTCCCGCTTTCCATCACCCCGCCCCATTCTCCCTCTTTCCATCACCCCGCCCCATTTTCCCTCTTTCCATCACCCCGCCCCATTCTCCCGCTTTCCATCACCCCGCCCCATTCTCCAGCTTTCCATCACCCCGCTCCATTCTCCCGCTTTCAATCACCCAGCCCAATTCTCCCTCTTTCCATCAACCCCCCCCCATTCTCCCGCTTTCCATCACCCCGCCCCATTCTCCCTCTTTCCATCACCCCGCCCCATTATCCCGCTTTCCATCACCCCGCCCCATTCTCCCTCTTTCCATCACCCCGCCCCATTTTCCCTCTTTCCATCACCCCGCACCATTCTCCCGGTTTTTATCAACCCGCCCCATTCTCCCTCTTTCTATCACCCCTCCCCCTTCTCCTGCTTTCCATCACCTCGCCCAATTCTCCCTCTTTCTATCACCCCTCCCCATTCTCCCTCTTTCTATCACCCCGCCCCATTCTCCCGCTTTCCATCACCCCGCCCCATTTTCCCTCTTTCCATCACCCCGCCCCATTCTCCCTCTTTCCATCACCCCGCCACATTCTCCCGCTTTCCATCACCCCTCCCCATTCTCCCTCTTTCCATCACCCCGCCCCATTCTCCCACTTTCCGTCACCCCGCCCCATTCTCCCGCTTTCCATCACCCTGCTCCATTCTCCCTCTTTCCGTCACCCCGCCCCATTCTCCCGCTTTCCATCACCCTGCCCCATACTCCCTCTTTCCCTCACCCCGCCCCATTCTCCCGCTTTCCATCACCCCGCTCCTTTCTCCGGCTTTCCATCACCCCGCCCAATTCTCCCTCTTTCCATCACCCCTCCCCATTCTCCCTCTTTCCATCACCCCACCCAATTCTCCCTCTTTCCATCACCCCGCCCCATTCTCCCTCTTTCCATCACCCCGCCCCATTCTCCCTCTTTCCATCACCCCGCCCCATTCTCCCGCTTTCCATCACCCCGCCCCATTTTCCCTCTTTCCATCACCCCGCCCCATTCTCCCGCTTTCCATCACCCCGCCCCATTCTCCCTCTTTCTATCACCCCTCCCTATTCTCCCCTTTTCCACCCCCCCGCCCCATTCTCCCGCTTTCCATCACCCCGCCCCATTCTCCCTCTTTCCATCACCCCGCCCCATTCTCCCGCTTTCCTTTACCCCGCCCCATTCTCCCGCTTTCCATCACCCCGCCCCATTTTCCCTCTTTCCATCACCACGCCCCATTCTCCCGCTTTCCATCACCCCGCCCAATTCTCCCTCTTTCTATCACCCCTCCCTATTCTCCCCTTTTCCACCCCCCCGCCCCATTCTCCCGCTTTCCATCACCCCGCCCCATTCTCCCTCTTTCCATCACCCCGCCCCATTCTCCCGCTTTCCTTTACCCCGCCCCATTCTCCCGCTTTCCATCACCCCGCCCCATTCTCCCGCTTTCCATCACCCCGCCCCATTTTCCCTCTTTCCATCACCCCGCCCCACTCTCCCGCTTTCCACCACCCAGCCCCATTCTCCCTCTTTCTATCACCCCTCCCCATTCTCCCGCTTTCCATCACCCCGCCCAATTCTCCCTCTTTCTATCACCCCGCCCCATTCTCCCCCTTTCCATCACTCCGCCCCATTCTCCCGATTTCCATCACCCTTCCCCATTCTCCCGCTTTCCATCACCCCGCCCCATTCTCCCTCTTTCCATCAGCCCGCCCCATTCTCCCTTTTTCCATCACCCCGCCCCATTCTCCTGCTTTCCATCACCCCGCCCCATTCTCCCGCTTTCCATCACCCCGCCCTATTCTCCTGCTTTCCATCACCCCGCCCCATTCTCCCGCTTTCCATCACCCCGTCCCATTCTCCCTCTTTTCATCACCCCGCCCCATTCTCCCTCTTTCCACCACCCCGCCCAATTCTCCCGCTTTCCATCACCCCGGCCCATTCTCCCTATTTCCATAACCCCGCTCCATTCTCCCTTTTTCCATCAACCCGCCCCATTCTCCCGCTTTCCGTCACCCCGCCCCATTCTCCCGCTTTCCATCACCCCGCCCCATTCTCCCTCTTTCCATCACCCCGCCCCATTCTCCCTCTTTCCATCACCCCGCCCCATCCTCCCTATTTCTATCACCCCGCCCCATTCTTCCGCTTTCCATCACCCCGCCCCATTCTTCCGCTTTCCATCACCCCGCCCCATTCTCCCTCTTTCCATCACCCCGCCCCATTCTCCCTCTTTCCATCACCCCGCCCCATCCTCCCTATTTCTATCACCCCGCCCCATTCTTCCGCTTTCCATCACCCCGCCCCATTCTCCAGCTTACCATCACCCCGCCCCATTCTCCCGCTTTCCATCACCCCGCCCCATTCTCCAGCTTTCCATCACCCCGCCCCATTCTCCCGCTTTCCATCACCTCGCCCCATTCTCCCGCTTTCCATCACCCCGCCCCATTCTCCCGCTTTCCATCACCCCGCCCCATTCTCCCGCTTTCCATCACCCCGCCCCATTCTCCCGCTTTCCATCACCCCGCCCCATTCTCCCGTTTTCCATCACCCCGCCCCATTCTTCCGCTTCCCATCACCCCGCCCCATTCACCCCGCCCCATTCTCCCTCTTTCCATCAACCCGCCCCATTCTCCCGCTTTTTTTTACCCCGCCCCATTCTCCCTCTTTCCATCACCCCGCCCCATTCTTCCGCTTTTCATCACCCTGCCCCATTCTCCCTCTTTCCATCACCCCGCCCCATTCCCCCTCTTTCCATCAGCCCGCCCCATTCTCCCGCTTTTGATACCACTTGTTAGAGACTAAGGATCGAGTCTATGAAGATTAGGTGCTCAAATTTATCAAAATCGTTGGTCTCAATTTCTGGACAGAAACGTCGACTTCACAAGAAACGTCGTCGACGGAAGGTGCACTGTTTGAATCCCACGAAATTCGAATATGTTGTAGCCCTAGACCGTGGCTACATTTACCAATTCGAATCGTATCAAAATATGATGCATATCTCGAGTTATGCGTTTCAGCGCACTAGGGGGTATGCTGCCACAGAAATTTAACTCAATCACAATTAACTCACAAGTTCCACAAAAGTGCACACAAGAGAGTTAGGGTAGCACTAAACCAGGTAGGAGGGAAGAGGAGGACGAGAGGGAAGGTCCCAAGAGATTCCCCAACCAAGGAAACCCCATGCCACACAATTCCCTTCCCCATAGGCAACCCCACTTTCACATTTGTCACTTTCCCAACTCATGCCATCCACCTCAACCCACTTGGCCACACTTGCCAACCTGGTTTGGCTTCACCCAACCACATGGCAGCATTCTACAGTGATGGGTTCGCATTCCCAACCCCCAAAAGTCTGTACCCCATATTGAGTCAACCCCACAACTTCCCATAGTCGCCACAACCGAAGTACAGAAAGCATACGAACCCCAACGTTCGTAACTTTCTTGATATTGCTCCGATCGCGACGATTCTTGGCTCGTCGGAAAGATCTTGAGTAGAGCTGTCACTTCAGATATCTGCCCAAGCCAAATATCATCCACACACTCGAAAATTCCAAACCGCGCAAAACACAAATTCTTGCACACGTTCACACCACGCTTGCAACACACGAACACTTGATGGAGGCAGACAGACGTGAATGCATATGTTTGCATCACAACAAACTCCCCCTCTGGCTGCCAACCATCATCCCACATGCCTCAGCTCATGCATGCATCCTCAATGCACACTCATCCCAGCAAGTTTCATGCCCTTCCAATGCTCAGGTTTTGCCAGGCGCTTGGTGAGAATCTCAGCCGCCTGTTGCTGGGTTTTCACAAGTTCCAGTCGAACCTCCTTATCCAGGAGCCTCCTCGTCCAATGCCACTTAGGCCTGATGTGCTTTGTCAGGCCATGAAGACAGGCATTCTTCGCAAGCTTCAGAGTTGACTCATTGTCACAGAAAATCACAGTCGGCTCCTTTTGACCAACCCAAATCTCCTCTAGCAAACGCCTTAGCCACACCACCTCCTTTGCCCCATGATGAAGGGCCACGTACTCTGTCTCACACGAGGACAGCCCCACCTCGTTCTGCTTCTTGCTGCGCCAGCTCACTGCACCACCTCCAAAGAGGCACACATAGCCTCCAATGCTGGTGCCATCCGATTTCACAGAGTTGAAGCTAGCGTCGGTGTAGCACGTTAGGCGCATCTCCCCCTTGCTCAAGTCAGCTGCACCCCTCTGCAGCCTCTGTCGCACGGCACTGTACTCCAATCCCACTGATGCCGTTGCACTCACGTAGCGGACCAACCTCTTGGCCGCTTCCAGCTGCTCATGACTGGGGCGTGAAACCACACTTGCAAGCCTGGATGTAGCAAAGGCAATGTCAGGCCGCGTGTGGCATAGCCTCGTCCTGCAGGATATACCAGGTCAGGTTGTCCTCGTTGAGCGTCGCCCTTGTGCTCGGCGCCATAGACAGCCGCTTCAGTAGGTTGTAGCTGCTAGAGAGACCCTGCATGACATGGGTGATGTACGACGCCGTGGAGTACTGCGCGCCGGCCATCCTGATGGTGGCGAGAATTCGCCGTGCCCGGTTGCAGTAGTCGGTCGCTGTCTCCTCGTCACCCATACGCAGGTGCGTCAGCTGTCCCTCCAGCTGGGCAATGAACAGGTCGTCGGTGACCTGGTACGTCGACTCAATCAAGTGCCACGCTCGGTGGCCGGCGTCGAGGTACTCCCGGCACCACTTCAAGGCGATCTGCACGCCCGGCGAGCAGCACCGCGAGATGACCGTGAAGGTCAACAGCTGCACGGCGCGAAACTCCGCACGCAGGTCGGGGTGGTGCTCCCCCGGCGGGGGTGATGGAAAGCGGGAGAATGGGGCGGGGTGATGGAAAGCGGGAGAATGGGGCGGGGTGATTGAAAGCGGGAGAATGGGGTGGGGTGATGGAAAGAGGGAGAATGGGGCAGGGTGATGGAAAGAGGGAGAATGGGGCTGGGTGATGGAGAGAGGGACAATGGGGCGGGGTGATGGAAAGCGGGAGAATGGGGCGGGGTGATGGAAAGCGGGAGAATGAGGCGGGGTGATGGAAAGAGGGAGAATGGCTTGGGGTGATGGAAAGCGGGAGAATGGGGCAGGGTGATGGAAGGAGGGAGAATGGGGCGGGGTGATGGAAGGAGGGAGAATGGGGCGGGGTGATGGAAAGTGGGAAAATGTGGCGGGGTGATGGAAAGCGGGAGAATGGGGTGGGGTTATGGGAAGCGGGAGAATGGGGCGGGGTGATGGAAAGCGGGAGAGTGGGGCGGGGTAATGGAATGAGGGAGAATGGGGCGGGGTGATGGAAGAAGGGAGAATGGGGCGGGGTGATGGAAAGCGGGAGAATGGGGCAGGGTGATGGAAGGAGGGAGAATGGGGCGGGGTGATGGAAAGCGGGAGAATGGGGCGGCGTGATGGAAAGCGGGAGAATGGGGCGGGGTGATGGAAAGCGAGAGAATGGGGCGGGGTGATGGAAGGAGGGAGAATGGGGAGGGGTGATGGAAAGCGGGGGAATGGGGCGGGATGATGGGAAGCGGAAGAATGGGGCGGGGTGATGGAAAGCGGGAGAATGGGGCGGGGTGATGGAAAGCGGGAGAATGGGGCGGGGAGATGGAAAGCGGGAGAAAGGGGAGGGGTGATGGAAAGTGGGAGAATGGGGCGGGCTGATGGAATGCGGGAGAATGGGGCGGGGTGATGGAAGGAGGGAGAATGGGGCGGGGTGATGGAAGGAGAGAGAAGGGGGCGAGGTGATGGAAAGTGGGAGAATGTGGCGGGGTGATGGAAAGCGGGAAAATGGGGTGGGGACATGGGAAGCAGGAGATTGGGGCGGGGTGATGGAAAACGGGAGAATGGGGCGGGGTGATGGAAGGAGGGAGAATGGGGCGGGGTGATGGAAGGAGGGAGAATGGGGCGCAGTGATGGAAAGCGGGAGAATGGGGCGGGGTGATGGAAGGAGGGAGAATGGGGCGGGATGATGGAAAGCGGGAGAATGGGGCGGGGGTGATGGAAATCGGGAGAATGGGGCGGGGTGGTGGAAAGCGGGAGAATGGGGCGGGGTGATAGAAGGAGGGAGAATGGGGCGGGGTGATAGAAAGCGGGAGAATGTGGCGGGGTGATGGAAAGCGGGAGAATGGGGCGGGATGATGGAAGGAGGGAGAATGGGGCGGGGTGATGGAAGGAGGGAGAATGGGGCGGGGTGATGGAAAGCCAGAGAATGGGGCGGGGTGATGGAAAGCAGAAGAATGCGGCGGGGTGATGGAAAGCGGGAGAATGGGGCGAGGTGATGGAAAGCGGGAGAATGGGGCGGGTGATGGAAAGCGGAAGAATGGGGCGGGGTGATGGAAGGAGGGAGAATGGGGAGTGGTGATGGAAAGCGGTGGAATGGGGCGGGATGATGGGAAGCGGAAGAATGGGGCGGGGTGATGGAAAGCGGGAGAATGGGGCGGGGTGATGGAAAGCGGGAGAATGGGGCGGGGAGATGGAAAGCGGGAGAAAGGGGCGGGGTGATGGAAAGCGGGAGAATGGGGCGGGCTGATGGAAAGCGGGAGAATGGGGCGGGGTGATGGATGGAGGGAGGATGGGGCGGGGTGATGGAAGGAGAGAGAAGGGGGCGGGGTGATGGAAAGCGGGAGAATGGGGTGGGGTTATGGGAAGCGGAAGAATGGGGCGGGGTGATGGAAAGCGGGAGAATGGGGCGGGGTGATGGAATGAGGGAGAACGGGGCGAGGTGATGGAAGGAGGGAGAATGGGGAGGGTTTATGGAAAGCGGGGGTATGGGGCGGGATGATGGGAAGCGGAAGAATGGGGCGGGGTGATGGAAAGCGGGAAAATGGGGCGAGGTGATGGAAAGCGGGAGAATGGGGCGGGGAGATGGAAAGCGGGAGAATGGGGCGGGCTGATGGAAAGTGGGAGAATGGGGCGGGCTGATGGAGGGTGGGAGAATGGGGCGGGGTGATGGAAGGAGGGAGAAGGGGGCAGGGTGATGGAAAGCGGGAGAATGGGGCAGGGTGATGGAAAGCGGGAGAATGGGGCGGGGTGATGGAAAGCGGGAGAATGGGGCGGGGTGATGGAAAGTGGGAGAATGGGGCGGGCTGATGGAAAGCGGGAGAATGGGGCGGGGTGATGGAAGGAGGCAGAATGGGGCGGGGTGATGGAAGGAAGGAGAATGGGGCGGGGTGATGGAAAGCCGGAGAATGTGGCGGGGTGATGGAAAGCGGGAGAATGGGGTGGGGTTATGGGAAGCGGGAGAATGGGGCGGGGTGATGGAAAGCGGGAGAATGGGGCGGGGTGATGGAAGGAGGGAGAATGGGGCGGGGTGATGGAAGGAGGGAGAATGGGGCGGGATGATGGAAAGCGGGAGAATGGGCCGGGGTGATGGAAGGAGGGAGAATGGGGCGGGGTGATGGAAAGCGGGAGAATGGGGCGGGGTGATGGAAAGCGGGAGAATGGGGCGGGGTGATGGAAAGCGAGAGAATGGGGCGGGGTGATGGAAAGCGGGAGAATGGGGCGGGGTGATGGAAGGAGGGAGAATGGGGCGGGGTGATGGAAAGCGGAAGATTGGGGCAGGGTGATGGAAAGCGGGAGATTGGGGCAGGGTGATGTAAAGCGGGAAAATGGGGCGGGGTGATGGAAAGCGGGAGAATGGGGCTGGGTGATGGAAAGCGGGAGAATGGGGCGGGGAGATGGAAAGCGGGAGAAAGGGGCGGGTTGATGGAAAGCGGGAGAATGGGGCGGGCTGATGGAAAGCGGGAGAATGGGGCGGGGTGATGGAAAGAGGGAGAATGGGGCGGGGTGGTGGAAGGAGGGAGAAGGGGGCGGGGTGATGGAAAGCGGGAGAATGGGGCGGGGTGATGGAAAGCGGGAGAATGGGGCGGGGTGATGGAAAGCGGGAGAATGGGGCGGGGTGATGGAAAGCGGGAGAATGGGGCGGGCTGATGGAAAGCGGGAGAATGGGGCGGGGTGATGGAAGGAGGGAGAATGGGGCGGGGTGATGGAAGGAAGGAGAATGGGGCGGGGTGATGGAAAGCGGGAGAACGTGGCGGGGTGATGGAAAGCGGGAGAATGGGGTGGGGTTGTGGGAAGCGGGAGAATGGGGCGGGGTGATGGAAAGCGGGAGAATGGGGCGGGGTGATGGAAGGAGGGAGAATGGGGCGGGGAGATGGAAGGAGGGAGAATGGGGCGGGGTGATGGAAAGCGGGAGAATGGGGCGGGGTGATGGAAAGCGGGAGAATGGGGCGGGGTGATGGAAAGCGGGAGAATGGGGCGGGGTGATGGAAAGCGGGAGAATGGGGCGGGGTGATGGAAAGCGGGAGAATGGGGCGGGGTGATGGAAAGCGGGAGAATGGGGCGGGGTGATGGAAGGAGGGAGAATGGGGCGGGGTGATGGAAAGCGGGGGATTGGGGAAGGGTGATGGAAAGCGGGAGAATGGGGTGGGGTGATGGAAAGCGGGAAAATGGGGCGGGGTGATGGAAAGCGGGAGAATGGGGCTGGGTGATGGAAAGCGGGAGAATGGGGCGGGGTGATGGAAAGCGGGAGCATGGGGCGGGGTGATGGAAGGAGGGAGAATGAGGCAGGGTGATGGAAGGAGGGAGAATGGGCTGGGGTGATGGAAAGCGGGAGAATGGGGCGGGGTGATGGAAAGCGGGAGAATGGGGCGGAGTGATGGAAAGCGGGACAATGGGGCGGGGTGATGGAAAGCGGGAGAATGGGGCGGGGTGATGGAAAGCGGGAGAATGGGGAGGGGTGTTGGAAAGCGGGAGAATGGGGCGGGGTGATGAAAAGCGGGAGAATGGGGCGGGGTGATGGAGAGCGGGAGAATGGGGCGGGGTGATGGAAAGCGGGAGATGGGGCGGGTGATGGAAAGCGGGTGAATGGTGTGGGGTGATGGAAAGCGGGAGAATGGGGCGGGGTGATGGAAAGCAGAAGAATGGGGCGGGGTAATGGAAAGTGGGAGAATGGGGCGGGGTGATGGAAAGCAGGAGAATGGGGCGGGGTGACGGAAGGAGGGAGAATGGGGAGGGGTGATGGAAAGCGGGGGAATGGGGCGGGATGATGGGAAGCGGAAGAATGGGGCGGGGTGATGGAAAGCGGGAGAATGGGGCAGGGTGATGGAAAGCGGGAGAATGGGGCGGGGAGATGGAAAGCAGGAGAATTGGGCGGGGTGATGGAAGGAGGGAGAATGGGGCGGGGTGATGGAAAGCGGGAGAATGGGGCGGGGTGATGGAAAGCGGGAGAATGGGGCAGGGAGATGGAAAGCGGGAGAAAGGGGCGGGGTGATGGAAAGCGGGAGAATGGGGCGGGCTGATGGAAAGCGGGAGAATGGGGCGGGGTGATGGAAGGAGGGAGAATGGGGCGGGGTGATGGAAGGAGGGAGAAGGGGGCGGGGTGGTGGAAAGCGGGAGAATGGGGCGGGGTGATGGAAAGCGGGAGAATGGGGCGGGGTGATGGAAGAAGGGAGAATGGGGCGGGGTGATAGAAAGCGGGAGAATGGGGCGGGATGATGGGAAGCGGGAGAATGGGGCGGGGTGATGGAAAGCGGGAGAATGGGGCGGGCTGATGGAAAGCGGGAGAATGGGGCGGGGTGATGGAAGGAGGGAGAATGGGGCGGGGTGATGGAAGGAGGGAGAAGGGGGCGGGGTGATGGAAAGCGGGAGAATGGGGCGGGGTGATGGAAAGCGGGAGAATGGGGCGGGGTGATGGAAGGAGGGAGAATGGGGCGGGGTGATGGAAAAGCGGGAGAATGGGGCGGGGTGATCGAAAGCGGGAGAATGGGGCAGGGTGATGGAAAGCGGGAGAATGGGGCGGGGTGAAGGAAGGAGGGAGAATGGGGCGGGGTGGTGGAAGGAGGAAGTAGGGGGCGGGGTGATGGTAAGCGAGAGAATGGGCTGGGGTGTTGGAAAGCGGGAGAATGGGGCGGGGTGATGAAAAGCGGGAGAATGGGGCGGGGTGATGGAAAGCGGGAGAATGGGGCGGGGTGATGGAAAGCGGGAGAATGGGGCGGGTGATGGAAAGCGGGAGAATGGGGCGGGGTGATGGAAAGCGGGAGAATGGGGCAGGGTGATGGAAAGCGGGAGAATGGGGCGGGGTGATGGAAAGCAGAAGAATGGGGCGGGGTGATGGAAAGCGGGAGAGTGGGGCGAGGTGATGGAAAGCGGGAGAATGGGGCGGGTGATGGAAAGTGGGAGAATGGGGCGGGGTGATGGAAGGAGGGAGAATGGGGAGGGGTGATGGAAAGCGGGGGAATGGGGCGGGATGATGGGAAGCGGAAGAATGGGGCGGGGTGATGGAAAGCGGGAGAATGGAGCCGTGTGATGGAAAGCGGGAGAATGGGGCGGGGAGATGGAAAGCGGGAGAAAGGGGCGGGGTGATGGAAAGCGGGAGAATGGGGCGGGCTGATGGAAAGCGGGAGAATGGGGCGGGGTGATGGAAGGAGGGAGAATGGGGCGGGGTGATGGAAGGAGAGAGAAGGGGGCGGGGTGATGGAAAGTGGGAAAATGTGGCGGGGTGATGGAAATCGGGAGAATGGGGTGGGGTTATGGGAAGCGGGAGAATGGGGCAGGGTGATGGAAAGCGGGAGAATGAAGCGGGGTGATGGAAAGCGGGAGAATGGGGCGGGGTGATGGAAAGCGGGAGAATGGGGCGGGTGATGGAAGGAGGAAGAAGGGTGCGGGGTGATGGAAAGCGAGAGAATGGGGCGGGGTGATGGAAAGCAGAAGAATAGGGCGGGGTGATGGAAAGCGGGTGAATGGGGCGGGGTGATGGAAAGCAGGAGAATGGGGCGGGGTGATGGAAAGCAGAAGAATAGGGCGGGGTGATGGAAAGCGGGAGATGGGGCGAGGTGATGGAAAGCGGGAGAATGGGGCGGGTAATGGAAAGCGGGAGAATGGGGCGGGGTGATGGAAAGCGGGAGAATGGGGCGGGGTGATGGAAGGAAGGAGAATGGGGTGGGGTGATGGAAAGCGGGAGAATGTGGCGGGGTGATGGAAAGCGGGAGAATGAGGTGGGGTTATGGGAAGCGGGAGAATGGGGCGGGGTGATGGAAAGCGGGAGAATGGGGCGGGGTGATGGAAGGAGGGAGAATAGCGCGGGGTGATGGAAAGCGGGAGAATGGGGCAGGGTGATGGAAGAAGGGAGAATGGGGCGGGGTGATGGAAAGCGGGAGAATGGGGCGGGGTGATGGAAGGAGGGAGAATGGGGCGGGGTGATGGAAAACAGGAGAATGGGGCGGGGTGATGGAAAGTGGGAGAATGGGGCGCGGTGATGGAAAGCGGGAGAATGGGGCGGTGTGATGGAAGGAGGGAGAATGGGGCGGGGTGATGGAAAGCGGGAGAATGGGGCGGGTTGATGGAAAGTGGGAGCATGGGGCGGGGTGATGGAAGGAGGTAGAATGGGGCGGGGAGATGGAAAGCGGGAGAATGGGGTGGGCTGATGGAAAGCGGGAGAATGGGGCGGGGTGATGGAAGGAGGGAGAATGGGGCGGGGTGATGGAAAGTGGGAGCATGGGGCGGGGTGATGGAAGGAGGTAGAATGAGGCGGGGTGATGGAAGGAGGGAGAATGGGGCGGGGAGATGGAAAGCGGGAGAATGGGGCGGGGTGATGGAAAGCGGGAGAATGGGGCGGGGTGATGGAAAGCGGGAGAATGGGGCGGGGTGACGGAAAGCGGGAGAATGGGGCGGGGTGATGGAAAGCGGGAGAATGGGGCGGGGTGATGGAAAGCGGGAGAATGGGGCGGGGTGATGGAAAGCGGGAGAATGGGGCGGGGTGATGGAAAGCGGGAGAATGGGGCGGGCTGATGGAAAGCGGGAGAATAGGGCGGGGTGATGGAAGGAGGGAGAAAGGGGCGGGGTGATGGAAGGAGGGAGAACGGGGCGGGTGATGGAAGGAGGGATAATGGGGCGGGGTTATGGAAAGCGGGAGAACGGGGCGGGGTGATGGAAAGCGGGAGAATGGGGCGGGGTGATGGAAGGAGGGAGAATGGGGCGGGGTGATGGAATGCGGGAGATTGGGGCAGGGTGATGGAAAGCGTGAGAATGGGGCAGGTTGATAGAAAGCGGGAAAATGGGGCGGGGTGATGGAAAGTGGGAGAATGGGGCGGGGTGATGGAAAGCGGGAGAATGGGGCGGGTGATGGAAAGTGGGTGAATGGGGCGGGGTGATGGAAAGCAGGAGAATGGGGCGGGGTGATGGAAAGCCGGAGATGGGGCGAGGTGATGGAAAGCGGGAGAATGGGGCGTGTATTGGAAAGCGGGAGAATGGGGCGGGGTGATGGAAGGAGGGAGAATGGGGAGGGGTGATGGAAAGCGGGGGAATGGGGCGGGATGATGGGAAGCGGGAGAATGGGGCGGGGTGATGGAAAGCGGGAGAATGGGGCGGGGTGATGGAAAGCGGGAGAATGGGGCAGGGAGATGGAAAGCGGGAGAAAGGGGCGGGGTGATGGAAAGCGGGAGAATGGGGCGGGCTGATGGAAAGCGGGAGAATGGGGCGGGGTGATGGAAGGAGGGAGAATGGGGCGGGGTGATGGAAGGAGGGAGAATGGGGCGGGGTGATGGAAAGCAGGGGAATGGGGCGGGATGATGGGAAGCGGGAGAATGGGGCGGGGTGATGGAAAGCGGGAGAATGGGGCGGGGTGATGGAAAGCGGGAGAATGGGGCAGGGAGATGGAAAGCGGGAGAAAGGGGCGGGGTGGTGGAAAGCGGGAGAATGGGGCGGGATGATGGAAAGCGGGAGAATGGGGCGGGTAATGGGAAGAGGGAGTATGGGGCGGGGTGATGGAAAGCGGGAGAATGGGGCGGGAGAATGGGGCCGGGTGATAGAAAGCGGGAGAATGGGGCGGGGTGATGGAAATCGAGAGAATTGGGCGAAGTGATGGAAAGCGGGAGAATGGGGCGGGGTGATGGAAAGCGGGAGAATGGGGCGGGGTGGTGGAAAGCGGGAGAATGGGGCGGGGTGGTGGAAAGCGGGAGAATGGGGCGGGGTGGTGGAAAGCGGGAGAATGGGGCGGGGTGATGGAAACAGGGAGAATGGGGCGGGGTGATGGAAAGTGGGAGAATGGGGCAGGGTGATGGAAAGAGGGAGAATGGGGCGGGGTGATGGAAAGCGGGAGAATGGGGCGGGGTGATGGAAAGCGGGAGAACGGGGCAGGGTGTTGGAAAGCAGGAGAATGGGGCGGGGTGATGGAAATCGGGAGAATGGGGCGGGGTGATGGAAAGCGGGAGAATGGGGCGGGGTGATGGAAAGCGGGAGAATGGGGCGGGGTGATGGAAGGAGGGAGAATGGGGCGGGGTGATGGAATGCGGGAGATTGGGGCAGGGTGATGGAAAGCGTGAGAATGGGGCAGGTTGATATAAAGCGGGAAAATGGGGCGGGGTGATGGAAAGTGGGAGAATGGGGCGGGGTGATGGAAAGCGGGAGAATGGGGCGGGTGATGGAAAGTGGGTGAATGGGGCGGGGTGATGGAAAGCAGGAGAATGGGGCGGGGTGATGGAAAGCGGGAGATGGGGCGAGGTGATGGAAAGCGGGAGAATGGGGCGTGTATTGGAAAGCGGGAGAATGGGGCGGGGTGATGGAAGGAGGGAGAATGGGGAGGGGTGATGGAAAGCGGGGGAATGGGGCGGGATGATGGGAAGCGGGAGAATGGGGCGGGGTGATGGAAAGCGGGAGAATGGGGCGTGGTGATGGAAAGCGGGAGAATGGGGCAGGGAGATGGAAAGCGGGAGAAAGGGGCGGGGTGATGGAAAGCGGGAGAATGGGGCGGGCTGATGGAAAGCGGGAGAATGGGGCGGGGTGATGGAAGGAGGGAGAATGGGGCGGGGTGATGGAAGGAGGGAGAATGGGGCGGGGTGATGGAAAGCGGGGGAATGGGGCGGGATGATGGGAAGCGGGAGAATGGGGCGGGGTGATGGAAAGCGGGAGAATGGGGGGGGGTGATGGAAAGCGGGAGAATGGGGCAGGGAGATGGAAAGCGGGAGAAAGGGGCGGGGTGGTGGAAAGCGGGAGAATGGGGCGGGATGATGGAAAGCGGGAGAATGGGGCGGGTAATGGGAAGAGGGAGTATGGGGCGGGGTGATGGAAAGCGGGAGAATGGGGCGGGAGAATGGGGCCGGGTGATAGAAAGCGGGAGAATGGGGCGGGGTGATGGAAATCGAGAGAATTGGGCGAAGTGATGGAAAGCGGGAGAATGGGGCGGGGTGATGGAAAGCGGGAGAATGGGGCGGGGTGGTGGAAAGCGGGAGAATGGGGCGGGGTGGTGGAAAGCGGGAGAATGGGGCGGGGTGGTGGAAAGCGGGAGAATGGGGCGGGGTGATGGAAACAGGGAGAATGGGGCGGGGTGATGGAAAGCGGGAGAATGGGGCGGGGTGATGGAAAGCGGGAGAACGGGTCAGGGTGTTGGAAAGCAGGAGAATGGGGCGGGGTGATGGAAATCGGGAGAATGGGGCGGGGTGATGGAAAGCGGGAGAATAAGGCGGGGTGATGGTAAGCGAGAGAATGGGGCGGGGTGATGGAAAACGGGAGAATGGGATGGGGTGATGGAAAGTTGGAGAATTGGGCGGGGTGATGGATAGAGGGAGAATGGGGCGGGGTGATGGAAAGCGGGAGAATGGGGCGGGGTGATGGAAAGAGGGAGAATGGGGTGGGGTGATGGAAAGCGTGAGAATGGGGCGGGGTGATGGAAAGAGGGAGAATGGGGCGGGGTGATGGAAGGCGGGAGAATGGGGCGGGGTGATGGAAAGCGGGAGAATGGGGCGGGGTGATGGAAAGCGGGAGAATGGGGCGGGGTGATGGAAAGCGGGAGAATGGGGCGGGGTGATGGAAATCGGGAAAATGGGGCGGGTGATGGAAAGCGGGAGAATGGGGCGGGGTGATGGAAAGAGGGAGAATGGGGCGGGGTGATGGAAAGAGGGATAATTGGGCGGGGTGATGGAAAGCGGGAGAATGGAGCGGGGTGATGGAAATCGGGAGAATGGGGCGGAGTGATGGAAAGCGGGAGAGGGGCGGGGTGATGGAAATCGGGAGAATGGGGCGGGGTGGTGGAAAGCGGGAGAATGGGGCTGGATGATGGAAAGCGGGAGAATGGGGCGGGTAATGGGAAGAGGGAGAATGGGGCAGGGTGATGGAAAGCGGGAGAATGGGGCGGGGTGATGGAAAGCGGGAGAATGGGGCAGGGTGATGGAAAGCGGGAGAATGGGGCGGGGTGATGGAAGGAGGGAGAATGAGGCAGGGTGATGGAAGGAGGGAGAATGGGGCGGGGTGATGGAAAGTGGGAGAATGGGTCGGGGTGATGGAAAGCGGGAGAATGGGGCGGAGTGATGGAAAGCGGGAGAATGGGGCGGGGTGATGGAAAGCGGGAGAATGGGGCGGGGTGATGGAAGGAGGGAGAATGAGGCGGAGTGATGGAAGGAGGGAGAATGGGGCGGGGTGATGGAAAGCAGGAGAATGGGGCGGGGTGATGGAAAGCGGGAGAATGAAGCGGACTGATGGAAAGCGGGAGAATGGAGTGGGGTGATGGAAAGCAGGAGAATGGGGCGGGTGATGGAAAGCGGGTGAATGGGGCGGGGTGATGGAAAGCAGGAGAATGGGGCGGGGTGATGGAAAGCAGAAGAATGGGGCGGGGTGATGGAAGGAGGGAGAATGGGGCAGGGTGATGGAAGGAGAGAGAAGGGGGCGGGATGATGGAAAGTGGGAAAATGTTGCGGGGTGATGGAAAGCGGGAGAATGGGGTGGGGTTATGGGAAGCGGGAGAATGGGGCGGGGTGATGGAAAGCGGGAGAATGGAGCGGGGTGATGGAATGAGGGAGAATGGGGCAGGGTGATGGAAGGAGGGAGAATGGGGCTGGGTGATAGAAAGCGGGAGAATGGGGCGGGGTGATGGAAGGAGGGAGAATGGGGCAGGGTGATGGAAAGCGGGAGAATGGGGCGGGGTGATGGAAAGCGGGAGAACGGGGCGGGGTGATGGAAAGCGAGAGAATGGGGCGGGGTGATGGAAGGAGGGAGAATGGGGAGGGGTGATGGAAAGCGGGGGAATGGGGCGGGATGATGGGAAGCGGAAGAATGGGGCTGGGTGATGGAAAGCGGGAGAATGGGGCGGGGTGATGGAAAGCGGGAGAATGGGGCGGGGAGATGGAAAGCGGGAGAAAGGGGAGGGGTGATGGAGAGCGGGAGAATGGGGCGGGCTGATGAAAAGCGGGAGAATGGGGCGGGGTGATGGAAGGAGGGAGAATGGGGCGGGGTGATGGAAGGAGAGAGAAGGGGGCGGGGTGATGGAAAGTGGGAGAATGTGGCGGGGTGATGGAAAGCGGGAGAATGAGGAGGGGTTATGGGAAGCCGGAGAATGGGGCGGGGTGATGGAAAGCGGGAGAATGGGGCGGGGTGATGGAAGGAGGGAGAATGGGGCGGGGTGATGGAAGGAGGGAGAATGGGGCGGAGTGATGGAAAGCGGGAGAATAGGGCGGGGTGATGGAAGGAGGGAGAATGGGGCGGGATGATGGAATGCGGGAGAATGGGGCGGGGTGATGGAAAGCGGGAGAATGGGGCGGGGTGATGGAAAGCGAGAGAATGTGGCGGGGTGACGGAAATCGGGAGAATGGGGCGGGGTGATGGAAAGCGGGAGAATGGGGCGGGGTGATGGAAAGCGGGAGAATGGGGCGGGGTGATGGAAGGAGGGAGAATGGGGCGGGGTGATAGAAAACGGGAAAATGTGGTGGGGTGATGGAAAGTGGGAGAATGGGGTGGGGTTATGGGAAGCGGGAGAGTGGGGCGGGGTGATGGAAAGCGGGAGAATGGGGCGGGGTGATGGAAGGAGGGAGAATGGGGCGGGGTGATGGAAAGCGGGAGAATGGAGCGGGGTGATGGAAAGCGGGAGAATGGGGCGGGGTGATGGAAAGCGGGAGAATGGGGCTGGGTGATGGAAAGCGGGAGAATGGGGCGGGGTGATGGAAAGCGGGAGAATGGGGCGGGGTGATGGAAGGAGGGAGAATGGGGCGGGGTGATGGAAAGCGGGAGATTGGGGCAGGGTGATGGAAAGCGGGAGAATGGGGCGGGGTGATGGAAAGAGGAAAAATGGGGCGGGGTGATGGAAAGCGGGAGAATGGGGCTAAGTGATGGAAAGCAGGAGAATGGGGCGGGGTGATGGAAAGCGGGAGAATGGGGCGGGGTGATGGAAGGAGGGAGAATGAGGCGGGGTGATGGAAGAAGGGAGAATGGGGCGGGGTGATGGAAAGTGGGAGAATGGGTCGGGGTGATGGAAAGCGGGAGAATGGGGCGGAGTGATGGAAAGCGGGAGAATGGGGCGGGGTGATGGAAAGCGGGAGAATGGGGCGGGGTGATGGAAAGCGGGAGAATGGGGCGGGGTGATGGAAAGCGGGAGAAAGGGGCGGGGTGATGGACAGCGGAGAATGGGGCGGGCTGATGGAAAGCGGGAGAATGGGGCGGGGTGATGGAAGGAGGGAGAATGGGGCGGGGTGATGGAAGGAGAAAGAAGGGGGCGGGGTGATGGAAAGTGGGAAAATGTGGCGGGGTGATGGAAAGCGGGAGAATGGGGTGGGGTTATGGGAAGCGGGAGAATAGGGCTGGGTGATGGAAAGCGGGAGAATGGAGCGGGGTGATGGAATGAGGGAGAATGGGGCGGGGTGATGGAAGGAGGGAGAATGGGGCGGGGTGATGGAAAGCGGGAGAATGGGGCGGGGTGATGGAAGGAGGAAGAATGGGGCGGGGTGATGGAAAGCGGGAGAATGGGGCGGGGTGATGGAAAGCGGGAGAATGGGGCGGGGTGATGGAAAGCGAGAGAATGGGGCGGGGTGATGGAAGGAGGAAGAAAGGGGAGGGGTGATGGAAAGCGGGGGAATGGGGCAGGATGATGGGAAGCGGAAGAATGGGGCGGGGTGATGGAAAGCGGGAGAATGGGGCGGGGTGATGGAAAGCGGGAGAATGGGGCGGGGAGATGGAAAGCGGGAGAAAGGGGAGGGGTGATGGAAAGCGGGAGAATGGGGCGGGCTGATGGAAAGCGGGAGAATGGGGCGGGGTGATGGAAGGAGGGAGAATGGGGCGGGGTGATGGAAGGAGAGAGAAGGGGGCGGGGTGATGGAAAGTGGGAGAATGTGGCGGGGTGATGGAAAGCGGGAGAATGGGGTGGGGTTATGGGAAGCGGGAGAATGGGGCGGGGTGATGGAAAGCGGGAGAATGGGGCGGGGTGATGGAAGGAGGGAGAATGGGGCGGGGTGATGGAAGGAGGGAGAATGGGGCGGAGTGATGGAAAGCGGGAGAATGGGGCGGGGTGATGGAAGGAGGGAGAATGGGGCGGGATGATGGAAAGCGGGAGAATGGGGCGGGGTGATGGAAAGCGGGAGAATGGGGCGGGGTGATGGAAAGCGGGAGAATGGGGCGGGGTGATGGAAATCGGGAGGATGGGGCGGGGTGATGGAAAGCGGGAGAATGGGGCGGGGTGATGGAAGGAGGGAGAATGGGGCGGGGTGATAGAAAGCGGGAGAATGTGGCGGGGTGATGGAAAGCGGGAGAAGGGGGTAGGGTTATGGGAAGCGGGAGAACAGGGCGGGGTGATGGAAAGCGGGAGAATGGGGCGGGGTGATGGAAGGAGGGAGAATGGGGCGGGGTGATGGAAGGAGGGAGAATGGGGCGGGGTGATGGAAAGCGGGAGAATGGGGCGGGGTGATGGAAGGAGGGAGAATGGGGCGGGGTGATGGAAAGCGGGAGAATGGGGCGGGGTGATGGAAAGCGGGAGAATGGGGCGGGGTGATGGAAAGCGGGAGAATGGGGCTGGGTGATGGAAAGCGGGATAATGGGGCGGGGTGATGGAAAGCGGGAGAATGGGGCGGGGTGATGGAAGGAGGGAGAATGGGGTGGGGTGATGGAAAGCGGGAGATTGGGGCAGGGTGATGGAAAGTGGGGGAATGGGGCGGGGTGATGGAAGGAGGGAGAATGGGGCGGGGTGATGGAAAGCGGGAGATTGGGGCAGGGTGATGGAAAGCGGGAGAATGGGGCTTAGTGATGGAAAGCGGGACAATGGGGCGGGGTGATGGAAAGCGGGAGAATGGGGCGGGGTGATGGAAAGCGGGAGAAAGGGGCGGGGTGATGGAAAGCGGGAGAATGGGGCGGGCTGATGGAAAGCGGGAGAATGGGGCGGGGTGATGGAAGGAGTGAGAATGGGGCGGGGTGATGGAAGGAGAGAGAAGGGGGCGGGGTGATGGAAAGTGGGAAATTGTGGCGTGGTGATGGAAAGCAGGAGAATGGGTTGGGGTTATGGGAAGCGGGAGAATGGGGCGGGGTGATGGAAAGCGGGAGAATGGGGCGGGGTGATGGAATGAGGAAGAATGGGGCGGGGTGATGGAAGGAGGGAGAATGGAGCGGGGTGATGGAAAGCGGGAGAATGGGGCGGGGTGATGGAAGGAGGAAGAATGGGGCGGGGTGATGGAAAGCGGGAGAATCGGGCGGGGTGATGGAAAGCGGGAGAATGGGGCGGGGTGATGGAAAGCGAGAGAATAGGGCGGGGTGATGGAAGGAGGGAGAATGGGGAGGGGTGATGGAAAGCGGGGGAATGGGGCGGGATGATGGGAAGCGGAAGAATGGGGCGGGGTGATGGAAAGCGGGAGAATGGGGCGGGGTGATGGGAAGCGGGAGAATGGGGCGGGGAGATGGAAAGCGGGAGAAAGGGGAGGGGTGATGGAAAGCGGGAGAATGGGGCGGGCTGATGGAAAGCGGGAGAATGGGGCGGGGTGATGGAAGGAGGGAGAATGGGGCGGCGTGATGGAAGGAGAGAGAAGGGGGCGGGGTGATGGAAAGTGGGAGAATGTGGCGGGGTGATGGAAAGCGAGAGAATGGGGTGGGGTTGTGGGAAGCGGGAGAATGGGGCGGGGTGATGGAAAGCGGGAGAATGGGGCGGGGTGATGGAAGGAGGGAGAATGGGGCGGGGTGATGGAAGGAGGGAGAATGGGGCGGAGTGATGGAAAGCGGGAGAATGGGGCGGGGTGATGGAAGGAGTGAGAATGGGGCGGGATGATGGAAAGCGGGAGAATGGGGCGGGGTGATGGAAAGCGGGAGAATGGGGCGGGGTGATGGAAAGCGGGAGAATGGGGTGGGGTGATGGAAATCAGGAGAATGGGGCGGGGTGATGGAAAGCGGGAGAATGGGGCGGGGTGATGGAAGGAGGGAGAATGGGGCGGGGTGATAGAAAGCGGGAGAATGTGGCGGTGTGATGGAAAGCGGGAGAAGGGGGTGGGGTTATGGGAAGCGGGAGAATGGGGCGAGGTGATGGAAAGCGGGAGAATGGGGCGGGGTGATGGAAGGAGGGAGAATGGGGCGGGGTGATGGAAGGAGGGAGAATGGGGCGGGGTGATGGAAAGCGGGAGAATGGGGCGGGGTGATGGAAGGAGGGAGAATGGGGCGGGGTGATGGAAAGCGGGAGAATGGGGCGGGGTGATGGAAAGCGGGAGAATTGGGCGGGGTGATGGAAAGCGGGAGAATGGGGCTGGGTGATGGAAAGCGGGAGAATGGGGCGGGGTGATGGAAAGCGGGAGGATGGGGCGGGGTGATGGAAGGAGGGAGAATGGGGTGGGGTGATGGAAAACGGGAGATTGGGGCAGGGTGATGGAAAGCGGGAGAATGCGGCGGGGTGATGGAAAGCGGGAAAATGGGGCGGGGTGATGGAAAGCGGGAGAATGGGGCTGGGTGATGGAAAGCGGGAGAATAGGGCGGGGTGATGGAAAGCGGGAGAATGGGGCGGGGTGATGGAAGGAGGGAGAATGGGGCGGGGTGATGGAAGGAGAGAGAAGGGGGCAGGGTGATGGAAAGTGGGAGAATGTGGCGGGGTGATGGAAAGCGGGAGAATGGGGTGGGGTTATGGGAAGCGGGAGAATGGGGCGGGGTGATGGAAAGCGGGAGAATGGGGCGGGGTGATGGAAGGAGGGAGAATGGGGCGGGGTGATGGAAGGAGGGAGAATGGGGCGGAGTGATGGAAAGCGGGAGAATGGGGCGGGGTGATGGAAGGAGGGAGAATGGGGCGGGATGATGGAAAGCGGGAGAATGGGGCTGGGTGATGGAAAGCGGGAGAATGGGGCGGGGTGATGGAAAGCGGGAGAATGGGGCGGGCTGATGGAAATCGGGAGAATGGGGCGGGGTGATGGAAAGCGGGAGAATGGGGCGGGTTGATGGAAGGAGGGAGAATGGGGCGGGGTGATAGAAAGCGGGAGAATGTGTCGGGTGATGGAAAGCAGGAGAAGGGGGTGGGGTTATGGGAAGCGGGAGAATGGGGCGGGGTGATGGAAAGCGGGAGAATGGGGCGGGGTGATGGAAGGAGGGAGAATGGGGCGGGGTGATGGAAGGAGGGAGAATGGGGCGGGGTGATGGAAAGCGGGAGAATGGGGCGGGGTGATGGAAGGAGGGAGAATGGGGCGGGGTGATGGAAAGCGGGAGAATGGGGCGGGGTGATGGAAAGCGGGAGAATGGGGCTGGGTGATGGAAAGCGGGAGAATGGGGCGGGGTGATGGAAAGTGGAAGAATGGGGCGGGGTGATGGAAGGAGGGAGAATGGGGTGGGGTGATGGAAAGCGGGAGATTGGGGCAGGGTGATGGAAAGCGGGAGAATGGGGCGGGGTGATGGAAAGCGGGAAAATGGGGCGGGGTGATGGAAAGCGGGAGAATGGGGCGGGGTGATGGAAAGCGGGAGAATGGGGCGGGGTGATGGAAGGAGGGAGAATGAGGCGGGGTGATGGAAGGAGGGAGAATGGGGCGGGGTGATGGAAAGTGGGAGAATGGGTCGGGGTGATGGAAAGCGGGAGAATGGGGCGGAGTGATGGAGCGGGAGAATGGGGCGGGGTGATGGAAAGCGGGAGAACGGGGCGGGGTGATGGAAAGCGGGAGAATGGGGCAGGGTGATGGAAAGCGGGAGAATGGGGCGGGGTGATGGAAAGCGGGAGAATGGGGCGGGGTGATGGAAAGCGGGAGAATGGGGCGAGGTGATGGAAACCGGGAGAATGGGGCGGGTGATGGAAAGGGGGAGAATGGGGCGGGGTGATGGAAGGAGGGAGAATGGGGAGGGGTGATGGAAAGCGGGGGAATGGGGCGGGATGGTGGGAAGCGGAAGAATGGGGCGGGGTAGTGGAAAGCGGGAGAATGGGGCGGGGTGATGGAAAGCGGAAGAATGGGGCGGGGAGATGGAAAGCGGGAGAAAGAGACGGGGTGATGGAAAGCGGGAGAATGGGGCGGGCTGATGGAAAGCGGGAGAATGGGGCGGGGTGATGGAAGGAGGGAGAATGGGGTGGGGTGATGGAAGGAGAGAGAAGGGGGCAGGGTGATGGAAAGTGGGAAGATGTGGCGGGGTGATGGAAAGCGGGAGAATGGGGCGTGGTGATGGAAAGCAGGAGAATGGGGCGGGGTTATGGGAAGCGGGAGAATGGGGCGGGGTGATGGAATGAGGGAGAATGGGGCCGGGTGATGGAAGGAGGGAGATTGGGGCGGGGTAATGGAAAGCGGGAGAATGGGGCAGGGTGATGGAAGGAGGGAGAATGGGGCGGGGTGATGGAAAGCGGGAGAATGGGGCGGGGTGATGGAAAGCGGGAGAATGGGGCGGGGTGATGGAAAGCAAGAGTATGGGGCGGGGTGATGGAAGGAGGGAGATTGGGGAGGGGTGATGGAAAGTGGGGGAATGGGGCGGGATGATGGGAAGCGGAAGAATGGGGCGGGGTGATGGAAAGCGGGAGAATGGGGCGGGGTGATGGAAAGCGGGAGAATGGGCGGGGAGATGGAAAGCGGGAGAATGGGGCGGGGTGATGGAAAGCGGGAGAATGGGGCGGGCTGATGGAAAGCGGGAGAATGGGGCGGGGTGATGGAAGGAGGGAGAATGGGGCGGGGTGATAGAAGGAGAGAGAAGGGGGCGGGGTGATGGAAAGTGGGAGAATGTGGCGGGGTGATGGAAAGCGGGAGAATGGGGCGGGGTGATGGAAAGCGGGAGAATGGGGCGGGGTGATGGAAGGAGGGAGAATGGGGCGGGCAGATAGAAAGCGGGAGAATGTGGCGGGGTGATGGAAAGCGGGAGAATGGGGTGGGGTTATGGGAAGCGGGAGAATGAGGCGGGGTGATGGAAAGCGGGAGAATGGGGCGGGGTGATGGAAGGAGGGATAATGGGGCGGGGTGATGGAAGGAGGGAGAATGGGGCGGGGTGATGGAAAGCGGGAGAATGGGGCGGGGTGATGGAAGGAGGGAGAATCGGGCGGGGTGATGTAAGGAGGGAGAATAGGGTGGGGTGATGGAAAGCGGGAGAATGGGGCGGGGTAATGGAAAGCGGGAGAATGGGGCTGGGTGATGGAAAGCAGGAGAATGGGGCGGGGTGATGGAAAGCGGGAGAACGGGGCGGGGTGATGGAAGATGGGAGAATGCGGCGGGGTGATGGAAAGCGGGAGATTGGGGCAGGGTGATGGAAAGCGTGAGAATGGGGCGGGGTGATGGAAAGCGGGAAAATGGGGCGGGGTGATGGAAAGCGGGAGAATGGGGCTGGGTGATGGAAAGCGGGAGAAAGGGGCGGGATGATGGAAAGCGGGAGAATGGGGCGGGCTGATGGAAAGCGGGAGAATGGGGCGGGGTGATGGAAGGAGGGAGAATGGGGCGGGGTGATGGAAGGAGAGAGAAGGGGGCGGGGTGATGGAAAGTGGGAAAATGTGGCGGGGTAATGGAAAGCGGGAGAATGGGGTAGGGTTATGGGAAGCGGGAGAATGGGGCGGGGTGATGGAAAGCGGGAGAATGGGGCGGGGTGATGGAATGAGGGAGAATGGGACGGGGTGATGGAAGGAGGGAGAATGGGGCGGGGTGATGGAAAGCGGGAGAATGGGGCAGGGTGATGGAAGGAGGGAGAATGGGGCGGGGTGATGGAAAGCGGGAGAATGGGGCGGCGTGATGGAAAGCGGGAGAATGGGGCGGGGTGATGGAAAGCGAGAGAATGGGGCGGGGTGATTGAAGGAGGGAGAATGGGGAGGGGTGATGGAAAGCGGGGGAATGGGGCGAGATGATGGGAAGCGGAAGAATGGGGCGTGGTGATGGAAAGCGGGAGAATGTGGCGGGGTGATAGAATGCGGGAGAATGGGGCGGGGAGATGGAAAGCGGGAGAAAGGGGAGGGGTGATGGAAAGCGGGAGAATGGGGCGGGCTGATGGAAAGCGGGAGAATGGGGCGGGGTGATGGAAGGAGGGAGAATGGGGCGGGGTGATGGAAGGAGAGAGAAGGGGGCGGGGTGATGGAAAGTGGGAGAATGTGGCGGGGTGATGGAAAGCGGGAGAATGGGGTGGGGTTATGGGAAGCGGGAGAATGAGGCGGGGTGATGGAAAGCAGGAGAATGGGGCGGGGTGATGGAAGGAGGGAGAATGGGGCGGGGTGATGGAAGGAGGGATAATGGGGCGGAGTGATGGAAAGCGGGAAAATGGGGCGGGGTGATGGATAGCGGGAGAATGGGGCGGGGTGATGGAAAGCGAGAGAATGGGGCGGGGTGATGGAAGGAGGGAGAATTGGGAGGGGTGATGGAAAGCGGGGGAATGGGGCTGGATGATGGGGAGCGGAAGAATGGGGCGGGGTGATGGAAGGAGGGAGAATGGGGCGGGATGATGGAAAGCGGGAGAATGGGGCGGGGTGATGGAAAGCGGGAGAATGAGGCGGGGTGATGGAAATCGGGAGAATGGGGCGGGGTGATGGAAAGCGGGAGAATGGGGCGGGGTGATGGAAGGAGGGAGAATGGGGCGGGGTGATAGAAAGCAGGAGAATGTGGCGGGTTGATGGAAAGCGGGAGAATGGGGCGGGGTGATGGGAAGCGGGAGAATGGGGCGGGGTGATGGAAAGCGGGAGAATGGGGCGGGGTGATGGAAGAAGGGAGAATGGGGCGGGGAGATGGAAGGAGGGAGAATGGGGCGGGGTGATGGAAAGCGGGAGAATGGGGCGGGGTGATGGAAGGTGGGAGAATGGGGCGGGGTGATGGAAGGAGGGAGAATGGGGGGGGGTGATGGAAAGCGGGAGAATGGGGCGGGGTGATGGAAAGCGGGAGAATGGGGCTGGGTGATGGAAAGCAGGAGAATGGGGCGGGGTGATGGAAAGCGGGAGAATGGGGCGGGGTGATGGAAGGAGGGAGAATGGGGCGGGGTGATGGAAAGCGGGAGATTGGGGCAGGGTGATGGAAAGCGGGAGAATGGGGCGGGGTGATGGAAAGCGGGAAAATGGGGCGGGGTGATGGAAAGCGGGAGAATGGGGCTGGGTGATGGAAAGCGGGAGAATGGGGCGAGGTGATGGAAAGCGGGAGAATGGGGCGGGGTGATGGAAGGAGGGAGAATGAGGCAGGGTGATGGAAGGAGGGAGAATGGGGCGGGGTGATGGAAAGTGGGAGAATGGGTCGGGGTGATGGAAAGCGGGAGAATGGGTCGGAGTGATGGAAAGAGGGAGAATGGGGCGGGGTGATGGAAAGCGGGAGAATGGGGCGAGGTGATGGAAAGCGGGAGAATGGGGCGGGTGATGGAAAGCGGGAGAATGGGGCGGTGTGATGGAAAGCGGGAGAATGGGGCGGGTGATGGAAAGCGGGTGAATGGGGCAGGGTGATGGAAAGCGGGAGAATGGGGCGGGGTGATGGAAAGCAAAAGAATGGGGCGGGGTGATGGAAAGCGGGAGAATGGGGCGAGGTGATGGAAAGCGGGAGAATGGGGCGGGTGATGGAAAGCGGAAGAATGGGGCGGGGTGATGGAAGGAGGGAGAATGGGGAGGGGTGATGGAAAGCGGTGGAATGGGGCGGGATGATGGGAAGCGGAAGAATGGGGCGGGGTGTAGAAAGCGGGAGAATGGGGCGGGGTGATGGAAAGCGGGAGAATGGGGCGGGGAGATGGAAAGCGGGAGAAAGGGGCGGGGTGATGGAAAGCGGGAGAATGGGGCGGGCTGATGGAAAGCAGGAAAATGGGGCGGGGTGATGGAAGGAAGGAGAATGGGGCGGGGTGATGGAAGGAGAGAGAAGGGGGCGGGGTGATGGAAAGCGGGAGAATGGGGCGGGGTTATGGAAAGCGGGAGAATGGGGCGGGGTGATGGAAAGCAGGAAAATGGGGCGGGGTAATGGAATGAGGGAGAATGGGGCGGGGTGATGGAAGAAAGGAGAATGGGGCGGGGTGATGGAAAGCGGGAGAATGGTGCGGGGTGATGGAAGGAGGGAGAATGGGGCGGGGTGATGGAAAGCGGGAGAATGGGGCGGCGTGATGGAAAGCGGGAGAATGGGGCGGGGTGATGGAAAGCGAGAGAATAGGGCAGGGTGATGGAAGGAGGGAGAATAGGGAGGGGTGATGGAAAGCGGGGGAATGGGGCGGGATGATGGGATGCGGAAGAATGGGGCGGGGTGATGGAAAGCGGGAGAATGGGGCGGGGTGATGGAAAGCGGGAGAATGGGGCGGGGTGATGGAAAGCAGGAGAATGGGGCGGGGAGATGGAAAGCGGGAGAAAGGGGAGGGGTGATGGAAAGCGGGAGAACGGGGCGGGCTGATGGAAAGCGGGAGAATGGGGCGGGGTGATGGAAGGAGGGAGAATGGGGCGGGGTGATGGAAGGAGGGAGAAGGGGGCGGGGTGATGGAAAGCGGGAGAATGGGGCAGGGTGATGGAAAGCGGGAGAATGGGGAGGGGTGATGGAAAGCGGGAGAATGGGGCGGGGTGATGGAAGGAGGGAGAATGGGGCGGGGTGATGGAAGGAAGGAGAATGGGACCGGGTGATGGAAAGCCGGAGAATGTGGCGGGGTGATGGAAAGCGGGAGAATGGGGTGGGGTTATGGGAAGCGGGAGAATGGGGCGGGGTGATGGAAAGCGGGAGAATGGGGCGGGGTGATGGAAGGAGGGAGAATGGGGCGGGGTGATGGAAAGCGGGAGAATGGGGCGGGGTGATGGAAAGCGGGAGAATGGGGCGGGGTGATGGAAAGCGGGAGAATGGGGCGGGGTGATGGAAAGCGGGAGAATGGGGCGGGGTGATGGAAGGAGGGAGAATGGGGCGGGGTGATGGAAGGAGGGAGAAGGGGGCGGGGTGATGGAAAGCGGGAGAATGGGGCGGGGTGATGGAAAGCGGGAGAATGGGGCGGGGTGATGGAAAGCGGGAGAATGGGGCGGGGTGATGGAAAGTGGGAGAATGGGGCAGGCTGATGGAAAGCGGGAGAATGGGGCGGGGTGATGGAAGGAGGGAGAATGGGGCGGGGTGATGGAAGGAAGGAGAATGGGACGGGGTGATGGAAAGCCGGAGAATATGGCGGGGTGATGGAAAGCGGGAGAATGGGGTGGGGTTATGGGAAGCTGGAGAATGGGGCGGGGTGATGGAAAGCGGGAGAATGGGGCGGGGTGATGGAAGGAGGGAGAATGGGGCGGGGTGATGGAAAGCGGGAGAATGGGGCGGGGTGATGGAAAGCGGGAGAATGGGGCGGGGTGATGGAAAGCGGGAGAATGGGGCGGGGTGATGGAAAGCGGGAGAATGGGGCGGGGTGATGGAAGGAGGGAGAATGGGGCGGGGTGATGGAAAGCGGAAGATTGGGGCAGGGTGATGGAAAGCGGGAGATTGGGGCAGGGTGATGGAAAGCGGGAAAATGGGGCAGGGTGATGGAAAGCGGGAGAATGGGGCGGGATGATGGAAAGCGGGAGAATGGGGCGGGGTGATGGAAGGAGGGAGAATGGGGTGGGGTGATGGAAGGAGGGAGAAGGGTGCGGGGTGATGGAAAGCGGGAGAATGGGGCGGGGTGATGGAAAGCGGGAGAATGGGGCGGGGTGATGGAAGGAGGGAGAATGGGGCGGGGTGATGGAAGGAGGGAGAAGGGGGCGGGGTGATGGAAAGCGGGAGAATGGGGCGGGGTGATGGAAAGCGGGAGAATGGGGCGGGGTGATGGAAAGCGGGAGAATGGGGCGGGGTGATGGAAAGTGGGAGAATGGGGCGGGCTGATGGAAAGCGGGAGAATGGGGCGGGGTGATGGAAGGAGGGAGAATGGGGCGGGGTGATGGAAGGAAGGAGAATGGGACGGGGTGATGGAAAGCCGGAGAATGTGGCGGGGTGATGGAAAGCGGGAGAGTGGGGTGGGGTTATGGGAAGCGGGAGAATGGGGCGGGGTGATGGAAAGCGGGAGAATGGGGCGGGGTGATGGAAGGAGGGAGAATGGGGCGGGGTGATGGAAGGAGGGAGAATGGGGCGAGATGATGGAAAGCGGGAGAATGGGGTGGGGTGATGGAAGGAGGGAGAATGGGGCGGGGTGATGGAAAGCGGGAGAATGGGGCGGGGTGATGGAAAGCGGGAGAATGGGGTGGGGTGATGGAAGGAGGGCGAATGGGGCGGGGTGATGGAAGGAGGGAGAATGGGGCGGGATGATGGAAAGCGGGAGAATGGGGCGGGGTGATGGAAGGAGGGAGAATGGGGCGGGGTGATGGAAAGCGGGAGAATGGGGCGGGGTGATGGAAAGCGGGAGAATGGGGCGGGGTGATGGAAAGCGGGAGAATGGGGCGGGGTGATGGAAAGCGGGAGAATGGGGCGGGGTGATGGAAGGAGGGAGAATGGGGCGGGGTGATGGAAAGCGGAAGATTGGGGCAGGGTGATGGAAAGCGGGAGATTGGGGCAGGGTGATGGAAAGCGGGAGATTGGGGCAGGGTGATGGAAAGCGCGAAGATGGGGCGGGGTGATGGAAAGCAGGAGAATGGGGCTGGGTGATGGAAAGCGGGAGAATGGGGCGGGGAGATGGAAAGCGGGAGAAAGGGGCGGGTTGATGGAAAGCGGGAGAATGGGGCGGGTTGATGGAAAGCGGGAGAATGGGGCAGGGTGATGGAAGGAGGGAGAATGGGGCGGGGTGGTGGAAGGAGGGAGAATGGGGCGGGGTGATGGAAAGCGGGAGAATGGGGCGGGGTGATGGAAAGCGGGAGAATGGGGCGGGGTGATGGAAAGCGGGAGAATGGGGCGGGCTGATGGAAAGCGGGAGAATGGGGCGGGCTGATGGAAAGCGGGAGAATGGGGCGGGGTGATGGAAGGAAGGAGAATGGGGCGGGGTGATGGAAAGCGGGAGAATGTGGCGGGGTGATGGAAAGCGGGAGAATGGGGTGGGGTTATGGGAAGCGGGAGAATGGGGCGGGGTGATGGAAAGCGGGAGAATGGGGCGGGGTGATGGAAGGAGGGAGAATGGGGCGGGGTGATGGAAGGAGGGAGAATGGGGCGGGGTGATGGAAAGCGGGAGAATGGGGCGGGGTGATGGAAAGCGGGAGAATGGGGCGGGGTGATGGAAAGAAGGAGAATGGGGCGGGGTGATGGAAAGCGGGAGAATGGGGCGGGGTGATAGAAAGCGGGAGAATGGGGCGGGATGATGGAAAGCGGGAGAATGGGGCGGGGTGATGGAAAGAGGGAGAATGGGGCGGGGTGATGGAAAGCAGGAGAATGGGGTGGGGTGATGGAAAGAGGGAGAATGAGGCGGGGTGATGGAAAGCAGGAGAATGGGGCGGGGTGATGGAAAGTGGGAGAATGGGGCGGGGTGATGGAAAGCGGGAGAATGGGGCGGGGTGATGGAAAGCGGGAGAATGGGGCGGGGTGATGGAAAGCGGGAGAATGGGGCGGGGTGATGGAAAGCGGGAGAATGGGGCGGGGTGATGGAAAGCGGGAGAATGGGGCGGGTTGATGGAACGCGGGAGAATGGGGCGGGGTGATGGAAAGAGGGAGAATGGGGCGGGGTGATGGAAAGCAGGAGAATGGGGTGGGGTGATGGAAAGAGGGAGAATGGGGCGGGGTGATTGAAAGCAGGAGAATGGGGCGGGGTGATGGAAAGCGGGAGAATGAGGCGGGGTGATGGGAAGAGGGCGAATGGGCCGGGGTGATGGGAAGCGGAGGAATGGGGCGGGGTGAAGGAAAGCGGGAGAATAGGGCGGGGTGATGGAAAGCGGGAGAATTGGGCGGGGTGATCGAAAGCGGGAGAATGGGGCGGGGTGATGGGAAGAGGGAGAACGGGGCGGGGTGATGGGAAGCGGGAGAATGGGGCGGGGTGAAGGAAAGAGGGAGAATGGGGCGGGGTGATGGAAAGAGGGAGAATGGGGCGGGGTGATGGAAAGCGGGAGAATGGGGCGGGGTGATGGAAGCGGGAGAATGGGGCGGGGTGATGGAAAGCAGGAGAATGGGTGGGTTGATGGAAAGCGGGAGAATAGGGCGGGGTAATGGAAAGCGGGAGAATGGGGCGAGGTGATGGAAAGCGGGAGAATGGAGCGGGGTGATAGAAAGCGGGAGAATGGGGCGGGGTGATGGAAAGCGGGAGAATGGGGCGGGGTGATGGAAAGAGGGAGAATAAGGCGGGGTGATGGAAAGCAGGAGAATGGGGCGGGGTGATGGAAAGTGGGAGAATGGGGCGGGGTGATGGAAAGCGGGAGAATGGGGCGGGGTGATGGAAAGCGGGAGAATGGGGCGGGGTGATGGAAAGCGGGAGAATGGGGCGGGGTGATGGAAAGCGGGAGAATGGGGCGGGGTGATGGAAAGCGGGAGAATGGGGCGGGTTGATGGAACGCGGGAGAATGGGGCGGGGTGATGGAAAGAGGGAGAATGGGGCGGGGTGATGGAAAGCAGGAGAATGGGGTGGGGTGATGGAAAGAGGGAGAATGGGGCGGGGTGATGGAAAGCAGGAGAATGGGGCGGGGTGATGGAAAGCGGGAGAATGAGGCGGGGTGATGGGAAGAGGGCGAATGGGCCGGGGTGATGGGAAGCGGAGGAATGGGGCGGGGTGAAGGAAAGCGGGAGAATAGGGCGGGGTGATGGAAAGCGGGAGAATTGGGCGGGGTGATCGAAAGCGGGAGAATGGGGCGGGGTGATGGGAAGAGGGAGAACGGGGCGGGGTGATGGGAAGCGGGAGAATGGGGCGGGGTGAAGGAAAGAGGGAGAATGGGGCGGGGTGATGGAAAGAGGGAGAATGGGGCGGGGTGATGGAAAGCGGGAGAATGGGGCGGGGTGATGGAAGCGGGAGAATGGGGCGGGGTGATGGAAAGCAGGAGAATGGGTGGGTTGATGGAAAGCGGGAGAATAGGGCGGGGTAATGGAAAGCGGGAGAATGGGGCGAGGTGATGGAAAGCGGGAGAATGGAGCGGGGTGATAGAAAGCGGGAGAATGGGGCGGGGTGATGGAAAGCGGGAGAATGGGGCGGGGTGATGGAAAGAGGGAGAATAAGGCGGGGTGTTGGAAAGAGGGAGAATGGGGCGGGGTGATGGAAAGCGAGAGAATGGGCCGGGATGATGGAAAGAGGGAGAATGGGGCGGGGTGATGGAAAGCGGGAGAATGGGGCGGGGTGATGGAAAGCGGGAGAATGGGGCAGGGTGATGGAAAGAGGTAGAATGGGGCGGGGTGATGGAAAGCAGGAGAATGGGGTGGGGTGATGGGGGAGAATGGGGCGCGGTGATGGAAAGCGGGAGAATGGGGCGGGGTGATGGAAAGCGGGAGAATGGGGCGGGGTGATGGGAAGAGGGAGAATGGGGCAGGGTGATGGGAAGCCGGGGAATGGGGCGGGGTGAAGGAAAGCGGGAGAATGGGGCGGGGTGATAAAAAGCGGGAGAATGGGGTGGGGTGATTGAAAGCGGGAGAATGGGGCGGGGTGATGGGAAGAGGGAGAATGGGACGGGGTGATGGGAAGCGGGAGAATGGGGCGGGGTGAAGGAAAGAGGGAGAATGGGGCGGGGTGATAGAAAGCGGGAGAATGGGGCGGGTTGATGGAAAGCGGGAGAATGGAGCGGGGTGATAGAAAGCGGGAGAATGGGGTGGGGTGATGGAAAGCGGGAGAATGGGGCGGGGTGATGGAAAGCGGGAGGATGGGGCCTTGAGGGCTTGAAGGCCTGAAGGCTTGAGGGCTTGAAGGCCTGAGGGCTTGAGGGCTTGAGGGCTTGAGGGCTTGAGGGCTTGAAGGCTTGAAGGCTTGAGGGCTTGAGAGCTTGAGGGCTTGAAGGCTTGAGGGCTTGAAGGCTTGAGGGCTTGAAGGCTTGAAGGCTTGAAGGCTTGAAGGCTTGAGGGCTTGAGGGCTTGAAGGCTTGAGGGCTTGAGGGCTTGAGGACTTGAAGGCTTCAAGGCTTGAAGGCTTGAAGGCTTGAAGGCTTGAGGGCTTGAGTGCTTAAGGGCTTGAGGGCTTGAGGGCTTGAGGGCTTGAGGGCTTGAAGGCTTGATGGCTTGAGGGCTTGAAGGCTTGAAGGCTTGAAGGCTTGAAGGCTTGAGGGCTTGAGGGCTTGAGGGCTTGAAGGCTTGAGGGCTTGAGGGCCTGAAGGCTTGAAGGCTTGAAGGCTTGAAGGCTTGAAGGCTTGAGGGCTTGAGGGCTTGAAGGCTTGAGGGCTTGAGGGCTTGAGGACTTGAAGGCTTGAAGGCTTGAAGGCTTGAAGGCTTGAAGGCTTGAGGGCTTGAGTGCTTAAGGGCTTTAGGGCTTGAGGGCTTGAGGGCTTGAGGGCTTGAAGGCTTGATGGGTTGAGGGCTTGAAGGCTTGAAGGCTTGAAGGCTTGAATGCTTGAGGGCTTCAGGGCTTGAGGGCTTGAGGGCTTGAAGGCTTGAAGGCTTGAAGGCTTGAGGGCTTGAGGGCTTGAAGGCTTGAAGGCTTGAAGGCTTGAAGGCTTGAAGGCTTGAGGGCTTGAGGGCTTGAAGGCTTGAGGGCTTGAGGGCTTGAAGGCTTGAAGGCTTGAGGGCTTGAGGGCTTGAAGGCTTGAAGGCTTGAGGGCTTGAGGGCGTGAGGGCTTGAGGGAGTTAGGGGGTGAGGGTGTGAGGGCTTGAGGGCTTGAGGGCTTGAGGGCTTGAGGGCTTGAGGGCTTGAGGGCTTGAGGGCTTGAAAGCTTGAGGGCTTGAAGGCTTGAATTCTTGAAGGCTTGAAGGCTTGAAGGCTTTGAGCAGAATCCCATCCCGCAGTCGATGCAGTTGAGCAGAATCTCTCCCGCTTTCCATCACCCCGCCCCATTCCCCCGTTTTCCATCACCCCGCCCCATTCTCCCACTTTCCATCACCCCGCCCTATTCTCCCGCTTTCCATCACCCGGCCCCATTCTCCCTCTTTCCATCACCCCGTCCCATTCTCCCGCTTTCCATCACCCCGCCCCATTCTCTCGCTTTCCATCACCCCGCCCCATTCTCTCGCTTTCCATCACTCTGCCCCATTCTACCTCTTTCCATCACCCCGCCCCATTCTCCCTCTTTCTATCACCCCGCCTCATTCTCCCTCTTTCCATCACCCCGCCCCATTCTCCCTCTTTCCATCACCCCGCCCCATTCTCCCGCTTTCCATCACCCTGCCCCATTCTCCCGCATTCCATCACCCCGCCCCATTCTCCCTCTTTCCATCACCCCGCCCCATTCTCCCGCTTTCTATCACCCCGCCCCATTTTCCCGCGTTCCATCACCCCTTTCCATTCTCCCGCTTTCCATCACCCCGCCCCATTCTCCCGCTTTCCATCATTCCGCCCCATTCTCCCTCTTTCCATCACCCCGCCCCATTCTCCCGCTTTCCATCACCCCGCCCCATTCTTCCGCTTTCCATCATCCCGCCCCATTCTCCCGCTTTCCATCAACCCGCCCCATTCTCCCGCTTTGCATCACCCCGCCCCATTCTCCCGCTTTCCATGACCCCGCCCCATTCTCCTGCTTTCCATCACCCCTCCCCATTCTCCCTCTTTCCATCACCCCGCCCCATTCTCCTGCTTTCCATCACCCCGCCCCATTCTCCCGCTTTCCATCACCCCGCCCCATTCTTCCGCTTTCCATCATCCCGCCCCATTCTCCCGCTTTCCATCAACCCGCCCCATTCTCCCGCTTTGCATCACCCCGCCCCATTCTCCCGCTTTCCATGACCCCGCCCCATTCTCCTGCTTTCCGTCACCCCTCCCCATTCTCCCTCTTTCCATCACCCCGCCCCATTCTCCTGCTTTCCATCACCCCGCCCCATTCTCCCGCTTTCCATCACCCCGCCCCATTCTCCCTCTTTCCATCACCCCGCCCCATTCTCCCGCTTTCCATCTCCCCACCCCATTCTCCTGCTTTCCATCACCCCATCCCATTCTCCCGCCTCTTTCAATCACCCCGCCCCATTCTCCCGCTTTCCATCACCGCGCCCCATTCTCCCGCTTTCCATCACCCCGCCCCCATTCTCCCGCTTGCCATCACCCCGCCCCGTTCTCCCACTTTCCATCACCCCGCCCCATTCTCCCGCTTTCCATCACCGCGCCCCATTCTTCTGCTTTCCATCACCCCGCCCCATTCTCCCTCTTTCCATCACCCCGCCCCATTCTCCCTCTTTCCATCACCCCGCCTCATTCTCCCGCTTTCCATCACCCCGCCCCATTCTCCCGCTTTCCATCACCCCGCCCCATTCTCCCGCTTTCCATCACCCCGCCCCATTCTCCCGGTTTCCATCACCCTGCCCCATTCTCTCGCTTTCCATCACTCTGCCCCATTCTACCTCTTTCTATCACCCCGCCCCATTCTCCCTCTTTCCATCACCCCGCCCCATTCTCCCGATTTCCATCACCCCGCCCCATTCTCTCGCCTCTTTCCATCACCCCGCCCCATTCTCCCGCTTTCCATCACTCCGCCCCATTCTCCCGCTTTCCATCACCCCGCCCTATTCTCCCGCTTTCCATCACCCCGCCCCATTCTCCAACTTTCCATCACCCCGCCCCATTCTCCCGCTTTCCATCAACCCGACCCATTCTCCCGCTTTCCATCACCCCGCCCCATTCTCCCTCTTTCGATCACCCGCCCCATTCTCCCGCTTTCGTTCACCCCGCCCCATTCTTTCGCCTCTTTCCATCACCCCGCCCCATTCTCCCGCTTTCCATCACCCCGCCCCATTCTCCCGCTTTCCATCACCCCGCCCCATTCTCCAGCTTTCCATCACCCCGCCCCATTCTCCCTCTTTCCATCACCCTTCCCCATTCTCCCTCTATCCATCACCCCACCCAATTCTCCCGCTTTCCATCACCCCGTCCCATTCTCCCGCTTTCCATCACCCCGCCCCATTCTTTTGCGTTCCATCACCCCACCCCATCCTCCCCTCTTTCCATCACCCCGCCCCATTCTCCCGATTTCTATTACCCCGCCCCATTCTCCCTCTTTCCATCACCCCGCCCCATTCTCCCGCTTTCCATCACCCCGCCCCATTCTCCCTCTTTCAATCACCCCGCCCCATTCTCTCGCTTTCCATCACCCCGCCCCGTTCTCCCGCTTTCCATCACCCCGCCCCATTTTCCCGCTTTCCATCACCACGCCCCATTCTCCTGCTTTCCATCACCCCGCCCCATTCTCCCTCATTCCATCAACCCCGCCCCATTCTCTCGCTTTCCATCACCCCGCCCCATTCTCCCGCTTTTCATCACCCCGCCCCATTCTCCCGCTTTCCATCACCGCGTCCCATTCTCCCTCTTTCCATCACCCCGCTCCATTCTCCCGCTTTCCATCACCCCGCCCTATTCTCCCTCTTTCCATCACCCCTCCCTATTCTCCCTCTTTCCATCACCCCGCCCTATTCTCCCGCTTTCCATCACCCCGCCCCATTCTCCCGCTTTCCATCACCCCGCCCCATTCTCCCGCTTTACATCACCCCGCCCCATTCTCCCGCTTTCCATAACCCCGTCCCATTCTCCCGCTTTCCATCACCCCGCCCCATTCTCCCTCTTTCCACCACCCCGCCCCGTTCTCCCGCTTTACATCACCCCGCTCCGTTCTCCCGCTTTCCATCACCCCGACCCGTTCTCCCCCTTTCCATCAACCCGCCACATTCTCCCGCTTTCCATCACCGCGCCCCATTCTCCCTCTTTCCATCACCCCGCCCCGTTCTCCCGCTTACCATCACCCCGCCCCATTCTCCCGCTTTCCATCACCCCGCCCCATTCTCCCTCTTTCCATCACCCCAACCCATTCTCCCTGTTTCCATCACCCCGCCCCATTCTCCCGATTTCCATCACCCCTCCCCATTCTCCCGCTTTCCATCACCCCGCCCCATTCTCCCGCTTTCCATCACTCCACCCCATTCTCCCGCTTTCCATCACCCCGCCCCATTCTCCCGCTTTCCATCACCCTGCCCCATTCTCCCGCTTCCCATCACCCCGGCCCATTCTCCCGCTTTCCATCACCCCGCCCCATTCTCCCGCTTTCCATCACCCCGCCCCATTCTCCCTCCTTCCATCACCCCGCCTCATTCTCCCGCCTTCCATCACCCCGCCCCATTCTCCCGCTTTCCATAACCCCGCCGCATTCTCGCGCTTTCCATCACCCAGCCACATTCTCCCACTTTCCATCAGCCCGCCCCATTCTCCCTCCTTCCATCGCCCTGCCCCATTCTCCCTCCTTCCATCATCCCGCCCCATTCTCCCTCCTTCCATCACCTTGCCCCATTTTCCCGCTTTCTATCAGCCCGCCCCATTCCACCGCTTTCCATCACCCCGCCCCATTCTCCAGCTTTCCATAACCCGCCCCATTCTCCCGCTTTCCATCACCCCGCCCCATTCTCCCGCTTTCCATCACCCCACCCCATTCTCCCGCTTTCCATCACCCCACCCCATATTCCCGCTTTCCATCACCCCGCCCCATTCTCCAGCTTTCCATCAGCCGCCCCATTCTCCCGCTTTCCATCACCCCGCCTCATTCTCCCGATTCCCATCAACCCGCCCCATTCTCCCGCTTTCTATCACCCGTCCCCATTCTCCCTCCTTCCATCACCCCGCCCCATTCTCCCGCTTTCCATCACCCCGCCCCATTCTACCACTTTCCATCACCTCGCCCCTTTCTCCCGCTTTCCATCACCCTGCACCATTCTCCCGCTTTCCATCAACCTGCCCCATTCTCCTGCTTTCCATAACCCTGCCCGATTCTCCCTCCTTCCATCACCCCACCCCATTCTCCCGCTTTCCATCACCCCGCCTTATTCTCCTGCTCTCCATCACCCCGTACCATTCGCCCGCTTTCCATCACCCCTCCCCATTCTCCTGCTTTCCATCACCCCGCCCCATTCTCCCTCCTTCCATGACCCCGCCCCATTCTCCCTCCATCCATCACCCCGCCCTATTCTCCCAATTTCCATCACCCCACCCTATTCTCCCGCTTTCCATCTCCCCACCTTATTCTCCCACTTTCCATCACCTCGCCCCATTCTCCCGCTTTCCATCACCCCGCCCCATTCTCCGCTTTCCATCACACGCCCATTCTCCCGCTTTCCATCACCCCGCACCATTCTCCCGCTTTTTATTACCCCGCCCCATTTTCCCGCTTCCCATCATCTCGCCCCATTCTCCCGCTTTCAATCACCCTGCCCCATTCTCCCTCCTTCCATCACCCCACCCCATTCTCCCGCTTTCCATCACCTCGCCCCATTCTCCCGCTTTCCATCACCCCGCCCAATTCTCCCGTTTTCCATCACCCCGCCCCATTCTCCTGCTTTCCATCACCCACCCCATTCTCCCGCTTTCCATCACCCCACCCCAGTCTCCCGCTTTCCGTCACCCCGCCCTATTCTCCCGCTTTCCATCACCCCGCCCCATTCTCCCGCTTTCCATCACCCCACCCCATTCTCCCGCTTTCCATCACCCCGCCCCATTCTCCCGCTTTCCTTCACCCCTCCCCATTCTCCCGCTTTCCATCACCCCGCCCCATTCTCCCGCTTTCAATCACCCCACCCCATTCTCCCGCTTTCCATCACTCCGCCCCATTCTCCCTCCTTCCATCACCCCTCCCCATTCTCCCGCTTTCCATCACCCCGACCCATTCTCCCACTTTCCATCACCCCGCCCAATTCTCTCGATTTCCGTCACCCTGCCCCATTCTCCCTCTTTCCGTCACCCCGCCCCATTGTCCCGCTTTCCATCATCCAGCCCCATTCCCCCGCTTTCCATCACCCCGCCCTATTCTCCCGCTTTCCATCACCCCGCCCCATTCTTCCACTTTCCATCACCCCGCCCCATTCTCCCTCCTTCCATCACCCCGCCCCATTCCCCCGCTTTCCATCACCCCGCCCCATTCTCCCGCATTCCATCACCCCGCCCCATTCTCCCTCCTTCCATCACCCCGCCCCATTCTCCCGCTTTCCATCACCCCAACCCATTCTTCCGCATTCCATCACCCCGCCCCATTCTCCCGATTTCCATCACCTCGCCCCATTCTCCCGCATTCCATCACCCCGCCCCATTCTCCCGGTTTCCATCACCCCGCCCCCTTCTCCCTCCTTCCATCACCCTGCCCCATTCTCCCTCCTTCCATCACCCCGCCCCATTCTCCCGCTTTCCATCACCCCGCCCCATTCTCCCGCGTTCCATCTCCCCGCCCCATACTCCCGGTTTCCATAACCCCGCCCCCTTCTCCCTCCTTCCATCACCCCGCCCCATTCTCCCTCCTTCCATCTTCCCGCCCCTTTCTCCCGCTTTCCATCAGCCCGCCCCATTCTCCCGCTTTCCATCACCCAGCCCCATTCTCCCGCTCTCCATCACCCCGCCCCGTTCTCCCGCTTTCCATAACCCCGCCCCATTCTCACGCTTTCCATCACCCCGCCCCATTCACCCGCTTTCCATCACCCCGCCCCATTCCGCTCCTTTCCGTCACCCCGCCCCATTCTCCCGCTTTCCATCACCTCGCCCCATTCTCACGCTCTCCATCACCCCGCCCCATTCACCCGCATTCCATCACCCCGCCCCATTCTCACGCTTTCCATCACCCCACCCCACTCCCGCTTTCCATCTCCCCGCCCCATTCTCCCGCTTTCCATCACCCCGCCCCATTCTCCCGCTTTCCATCACCTCGCCCCATTCTCACGCTTTCCATCACCCGCCCCATTCTCCCGCTTTCCATCATCCCGCCCCATTCTCCCTCCTTCCATCACCCCGCCTCATTCTCCCTCCTTCCATCACCCCGCCCCATTCTCCCGCTTTCCATCACCCCGCCCCATTCTCCCGCTTCCCATCACCCCGCCCCATTCTCCCGCTTTCCATCACCCCGCCCCATTCTCCCGCTTTCCATAACCCCGCCCCATTCTCCTGCTTTCCATCACCCCGACATATTCTC